AACAGATTGGCAACCATAGTTTCGTGCAATGGGGCTTATGTTTGGTTTTATTATCCAGTAGCTGTACCGTCTCTAAGATTCTCTGTTTTCTTCCTCATTCCTGTATCTGTGACGGCTGCAGTCTCAGAATGGAACACAATGGCACTGAACACTCATGTTACTCACTTGTATTCATCTGAGCCCGGCCAATTCTAGCCGTGTTTGTACTGTATTGTGATAAGCACAAATGGTAATTTTGCCTTGACTTTCTACCCATCAAATCCAAATATTTACTTGAATTTGGAATCCAAAAAACATCCTCACAGGGAGCAAGTGACCCTGAACAGTTTAATGCAGTGATTATTTTTGTTTTCTGGTATTGTCTCACTGGGCAGAAGAGAAGCTGCTGATGTTCCCATAGAAGTCAGTGGGAGAAATGTGAATAGTGTGTTGATCCCAGAGCTCCATCACTGCTGTGTTATTGATTTATGACTACTGGAGACGGCTCCCATTGCCCCCACAGCCCATTTCTCCATTCATCCTTTCATCTCAGATGAGCGCTATATACATTTTTCTCTTTTTTTCTTAATACAGTCCCAAATTTCTCCTATTCTTTCTCCTGGATTCCTTCTGAGTCAATTTAATAAGTACACTAAACTTCAAATATTTTTAAATTACCATAAAATATTCACTACCATTTAAAAGTTTAGGGTTGTAAAGATTATATAATGTAGTATTCTGACTAAGGCTCCATTTATTTGATTAAAAATACAGTAAAAACAGTAATATTAAGACATTTTCTATCATAATATATTTTAAAATGTGATGGAAACACTTTAGTGCAGGGTCCAATTCTCACTATTTACTAGTTGTGAGTGAATGAATGAATGAAATCTTTATTTTGAATGAATGAATAAGTTGTCACCAGCACACCACGCATTTTACTAGGATATTTTTGGCTGTTTGTTAGTACTTATAAAGCACATATTAATGCTTTATTATGCATAACCATAAGGGTTAACCATCCTACACAATACCTAAACTTAACAACGACCTGGAGTTTGAGGCAAAAGTCATAGTTAATAGTGAGAATTGGACCCTAATCTAAAGTGTGACCAATGTAATTTATTCCTGTGATGTCAAAGCTGAATCTTCAGCATCATTACCCCCGTCTTCAGTGACACATTACCCTTCAGAAATCGTATGCGCTGATTTGCTGCTCAGGAAACATTTCTTGTTATCAATATAGAAAACAGTTTATATCAAAATGCCCTTCTCGGCGGGAATCCTCGTAAACGCAGTCGCTAATGGCTTATGTGAACGTAAACAATTGAGAAAGAAAACTGATGCGTATCATCATATTGGATACGTGCATTATCACTTTCGTAGCTTTTACAAAGTTAAATTATATTTAATTTATACCATGAAGACTATGCAGTGTTATTTTACATTTGATTATTCTATATTTTTCTCTATTTCTGTACCGAAATACGGTTAGACTTACCTGAAAAACATAGGCAAATAATCATATTTATTTTTGCCTGTAATTTATTTTCTATGCAGATTCATTTTTGTAAATCTGCATAAAAATAACCCCAATTATTCTAGAATGTAAGTAAATTTTGATTTCATGTTGTTTTTCAGATCAAATGATTTGTCAAATCCAATCTGAATGCCAACGTACACTCTTAATATAGATAATGATCATGTGTCGCACTGGCTCGTAATGCTGAAGCCAGCAGGGAGTGGACAGCCCCAGAGCCAAAGGTCTAAAAGGCACAAGTGCTCTGGTCCTACTTTACCGTTCACACATTGTTCCACACGGGAACAGAGGAAATTAGCTCAGGGAAGTTTCTATGAAACTTTCCAACTATCCCGACCAGTTGCACCATGACCTCATGAAGTCATATGCCAAACGGCCATTTTTAGTGGATGTTCAGTGGGGTAACAAAGTATGAAGGTGTTGAGGTTATCTTTGTTGTCCTGATTTTACAGTGGAAAATGCCGTTTGAATGTTGAGTGAAATTTAGGAGGCCATCGAAAGTAACACTCCCATATTTCCTGTGTGAAATCAAAACATTGGCTTTTCGCCTTGTTTTTCCACCATTTTATAGAATATTTGTCATCTTTAATGGTTTTTGTTTTCAATGGGCTTTGGCCAGAAAATGGGCGGCTAGTCTTTCAACCATGATATGGATATACATGTCCATGAATAATTTACTTCAGGTAATTTTACTGCAGGTAATTTTCAGTAATGATGCAATTGCAGGTCCAGTATCGTCTTGTTATTATCTGTTATGATTGAAGGTTATATTTGTGGTGAGTTTTTCTCTGTTTTGCGTGTATTTGCAGTAGTTTCTACTATTGTAATGTATCTGAAATGGTGTAGGCACCTTAAATTACCTAAGCCTGTCTTTGTCAGGTAAGGAACGTTAACTGATCCTTTATATCATTTTTTCCGTCCTCAGCTGTTGGTTGAAACGAGATACTGATGCTGGCGTGAAAGCCTCCTCGTCTTGCATATGAATCAATAGTAATTAGCCTGCTTGATCTAAGCAGCGCTAGAAATTATCAGGTTTTTTAGAAATTAGCGCTAGAAATTATCAGGTCAATTAAAGAATGAGGTGTTTGTGGAGAGAATGCTTAACTTGACAAAACTGTACACACCCCATCATGATGCAGTTGATTAAAAGACCATAAAGAAGAGCTCCCCCCACCCCCCTCTCAAGTTGAAACGTGTACCTTTATGTAATTATACCCACCAGACTGGCTGTCAGTCAAAACCACTTAAGTTTCTTCCCAGAGTGCCTTGCTTGTTCCATTGTGCATAGTTATCTCAGAAGTGGTCTTACATCAGTGGTCCAGAAAATACAGGAATGACAAGATTACTCAAGTGGATAGTAAGGTTTGTCTTGTGTTTAATGTGAGAAACATTAGTTTTGATGATATTTAGAAAGTGTCTGATGTAATGATGCAAATTAGACTTGGACTAAACTGAATTTCTGAAATGAAAGAACTAGGCCTAGTTCATCAAAAAGTATGAAAATTCTCACCCTCATGTCGTTCCAAACCTGTATGAATGTTTCTTCTGTGAGATCATGTGACCCGAGCCGATCTGACGAATACTGTTATGTTTTTTGAAACCTGAAACCTAAATTGCTTCCTTACAAAAAGTAACTTTTTTAATATGCTGTATTTCTGGATTGCGTGCAGCAGTCACTATAGTAACTTGTAAATAAACACAGTTTCATCAACGGCCTCTGCTGTTGAGTAGCCAACCTGTGTCTTGCTTTCGAATGCCAAAACATCTTTGCAAGTCCTGCACGTAACTGCTGAGCTATTTGTTGGTTGTACTAACAAGTTCATAATTCACACAGTACAGCTTTCATTGCTATCATTTGCTACCGTAATAAGTTCTCCCTCATTGTGCGTTGTTCCGTCTGACGTACTGTGAGAAAACGAGCGAGAGCACATGCAAGAATGAAATGAACTTGATCCGAACCCGAAGCGGTTCATGAAAAATTGGGTCAGGTAGCAGACCTCTAAAGACCGTGGCTCTCAAACTTTTCAAAAATCAAAACAAATGGCAAATTATAATAATAGTTTTTCATGTCATTTCAGTTGGAATCCAGACGATAGGGAATTTCACATCAGGGCGAAAGATTTCCTCACGCAAATTTCACAATGTGTTCAAGTTTTGTTATATGGATTCGCTGCACTGACCAACAGAAATCTGCTTGGTTTAAAAGTGATATCTGTGTGCCCTGTGCTTCATACATCGCTGTATTGACGTGTCGATGTATTGAAACTCCTTCGGCTGCACATACTTATGGGAAAAGTAGATGATAACAAGTCTTTGGTTCATTACTTAAGTATTCTCAGTGTTTGTAGGGAAAGTAGTAAAGAAAGGAATGCTCGCAGGCCAATGTTTTGAAAAAAGCCGTATGGTCTGGCCTCTGCCTCGGCCTCAGCTGGGGCAGCTCTATTGTACTGGATGAGGGTTGTGTCTCTGTTGGTCTCTATACACAAAGACCTCCCATGGGAGTCACTACTCTGAGCTGAAGATGGAATTGTTAGTAGGGGGTCTGGGATTGATGATGTCAAATGGGATTGCACTCTTTCTCATTAGCTGTGAAGCCATGCACTCGGGTGAGAGTGCATGTCCATCTGCCTGAGCATGACTTCAGTTTGTTGAAAGTAGGAAAACTGACTAGTCAGTGGGTTGCCTGTATGTCTAGTTGGTCGTAAGGATGTCCTGTGTAATCAGACTGGTCTTCCATTCAAAAATAGCACAACAGAATGGAACTGAAAAACTTTTAGAAAATAAGTTTTAAAACTTAAAACGATATATAATATAATATAATATAAAAAATCCCAACAAGATCTGTGAAAAAGAATGGTTCAGCTTTCCAAAATGATTCTCGAATATTATTTCTTGACAGTTGCACAGAAACAATAAATCTGGTATGTAATTTTGTGTGTTTTGGAATGAAGGGTTTGGTCAATTGGACCTGTATGGTCTTGTTCTTTGTCTACTTTGTTGAGCTTTGTTGCCCTGGAGGCCATTGTGACTGAAGGGGAGTCTTATTATTACATGGGCACACATGCACTCCTGCATATTTATGCCTTTTATATCTTGTTCCCTTCGTCTTTTTTATTATTTATTAATATTGCTTGGCTCATATTTTGGCTGTATGCTGGAATTTGATGTTCTCTCCACCCAAGACATGCCTCGTCTGGCCTGGGGCTGCTAATGCTTCCCATTTCCATTTTGATTTCCTGGCTGTCTGTTTGCAAGTATGAGTTTCCTGTTCCCACGTAACCACTGACCCTGTTTTAGGTACTCGCCCCAAATATTGATGTCCATCTCTCAATCTGGCTTTCAATCTTGACTCATGCTTATTTTGACCCTTCACTGTTGTCCTTTCACATAGATTAAATGTTTAAGGTGCCATTACAGTGCACTGAACGTTTCCATGTCTACCCGTTTACAATAGGCATGTTTTCTTTTTTTCTCTCAGGAGAGTCTTCAGCAGCTCATCGTCATGAACCTGCCCAATGTTCTGACCATCGCCAAGGACCCATTATCAGGTATTGCTCAATCATATCATTTTAAATAAGCCACTAGATCGTGGTACAAAATGGGTGCCTTTCTGGTTTAAGTAAATGTTTAAATTACCATTTTAAAATGTTCTCTAATGTGTTAATAAACTGCATTAAGATAAATTAAGCTTTTTTTACACACACATTTTAATATGTGTGTAATACATGTATTTATATCTTCAGAAGACAGGTTTGATGGTGCCAAGATTATGGTTTTACTGTTTAATTTGAAATGATTAGATCAAGGTCATAAAACAATAAGGTGTGGTTACACTTTATTTTAAGGTGACGTAGTTATATTGTACTTAGATAAGTACTGAGTAATATTAATTAAGTACATGCAGTTGCGCTAGAGTTATGGTTATTGTTTTATTTAGGGTTAGTTACTTGTCATTATGCATAATTTACTGTTATTTTTATTGTAAGTACATAACGTGTCACTACGTCACCTTAAATTAAAGTGTTCCCTAAGGTGTCTATTAGAAAAAGAATTTAATGCTGACCTTTTTACCAATATCTACTTTTAATTGTTTACTATACAAAATCATGATGGGTTGACAAAACATAAGGACAACTAAACTCTCTGCTTAATATGTTACTTTATTCTTAGAATTGGTTTTGTCTTAAAATTGGTTTTGTCTCAAGATGCACACCAGTAATGTTTTTTTTCTAATGCATGTTTATAAAAGTTACTTAAATGCCCTAATTGAACTAAGGCCTAATCCTGCCCTGTCTGTGAAACCAGGCCTAAAAGAGGAAAAAATAGGATGGTAACAGGGCTGATGCATAATCTGTGGACAGAATTTCAAGAGAAAATTGTGCAACAATTCTATTATCATATATTTTGTTTTCTGCAACATTTGCAAGATTTTTTAAAAGAATGCCTATATTAACCCAGAAAATGTATTTTTATGCACGTTTATGACAGACCAATATAGCACTCGTTTTGTAGAATCTTCATCCTAATAGCATACTTTTATTATCTTACTTTTATCTGGATCAGTTTCTGTATCTTCACTATGGTCACTAAGTCATATACTACCATTTTCCATCATGCCCTAAAGTAAAACGTACACCCTGCTGAACAAACCTCCCCATTTATCACCTCACATTCACACTCGAGCCTTCATAAACATTCTCCTTCCTTTCACCTTCTGATATGGGATGTGCGGACAAGGTTCTGGCTCTCTGGGGAAGGAAACCCATGTTGGGGACCTTGTAATGACAGGAGGAAAGGAGAAAGGCCAGAGGAAACTTCTTGGGATGAAGCCCAGCCCTAAGCGCTGACTGGGGATCTTGCTGCTGACAGTAGAGCAGCTTAGAGACATGAAACCAGAACAACTAGGAAATTGGTCTGGGACTATAGTCAATTATAAAGCTTTAATCTGGCATTATACTAAAATATTTGACTGAACAATGCTGCAATGCTTGCAATCAAAATCAAGAGAGCTGTGTAATAAAATATGTAAAAATAGTATAGATATTAGCTAACTGTTAGCAAATGGTATGGAGTAAAAAAATGCTGCAATTAAAGTAACTTTGTAGATTTTTTAACCCGCTTAGTATTGTTATAATGTAGGTAGTGTATGTACGTTTATTTCTCAGCAAAAGCTCCAAGACTTTTGTAAAAACTACAGAATATACTTCATATTGTATCCCTCCTCACAGATGGTCGGATCGACTGAGGGTTATTACCAGCACAGTTATTGTATTGGTTGGTTTATTACTGAAAATTGTATCACACTATATCTACTCTTTATTGTAAAATGTATTGTAAAAATGGAACAATATGGCAAAAGTGTTCTTACCTGGACGCATTTTGCTTTGGGCGTAACTGATTTGTTTTTCCAGTTTTCGTTTGGCATAAAACAGTCTGTTCGTGGTCATTCAGTTGGAAATGTTGACTACAATTCGGAGGAATTCTTGAACCTGTAACAATGCAAGTTGACATCATTATAACTAGAAGTTTGCTAAAAGGTATTTCCTACTAAACCAAGGCAGTATTTGACTAACATCAACTACATTTTGACTAGATTATTAGCTGGTAAATTGTCTAATAATGTTCAAATATCACTACATGAAACCTGTGGCGTGTTGAACGGTTCAAAATGTGACTGACTTATACTAAACTTCTGCAAATACTGTAAGGTTTGCACCATGACACCTGATCACTTCTGCAGGTCTGCTGTTATACTCCAAAATACATGGTAATGTTAGAGTAGACTATGACAACAGACACGTATAACAGGCCTTTGTTATAATGAGGTGTGTATCAGATCTGCAGGTTGACCTTTGAGTTTGTGCGTAGACTAGATTTCCTTCTCTGCTCATGCTTGCTACCTACAGGATGCTGTACTTTGATTTGCATATATAAAATTAACCCTTATCATGGTTATGCCATCATTTTCTGCTTGGTTATCAAAATAGTCCGAGATTATTATTATTTTTTTTTTCCTGGATGCTGTATTGGAGCTTATTTCTGTACATTTTGTTCAGTGGGCCCCTGTGGACCACATTCTAGTCATGAAAAGCTTTAAGGAAGTAATGTTTTCCCTGAAAATGACTAATGTGAATATATTTCACAAAAGGCTTTATGTTAAAGGATTTTTATGTGCTGGTGAATGTGTTTTTTTATCTTGTTACATATGCAACACTCTCTGATGTTTGTGTTTTTTAGTAAGCTTCACTTGTAGTGGACAATAGAGTCATTTCCCCCACGCCTGGTAAAGAGCTCCTCCTCTGCTGTCTGTGTAAAGGGGGGTACGATTTAGGGTGGGGTGGCGTTCAGCAACAAATGGTCACCATGGTGACCGCACCCCCACACCCACTCCATTCTCTCCAGAGTATTTATTAGCCTAAGACTGTCAGACAAACAAACTCACCAACACACAGAGAACAAGCTTCGAAAAATAAATTAAAAAACTTCAAAGATATCAAAGCGTTTGTGTTATTGCCAAAATAGTTGATGTGTTCATTTCTTTAATTTCTGTCGTTTATATAGTACTTTTATTGTCAATTTGTGTGAATTGTTTAACATTTTTCCCTCAGGTAAAAGCATGGAGGAGGTGAAGAGACTGCTGTTGCTAATACTGGGCTGTGCTGTTCAGGTAAACTTGAACTAGCAGAAATCTCCAACCGACATTTTGAGACCAGTACAGGAAATCATATCCATATCACCATGTCTGGGCATGCCTCTGCTTTTCCAGAGTAAAACTAACACACGCTTATTATGCTGCAAAATCAGATATGTCCCAGAAGAGATAGAAAATATAGTTGGGTTAGATATGCTAAAGTTTTTGTCTCCTTTTCCTGAGGATTGTTTCTCTCATGTCTGTTTTGTGCAAGCCTATCTGTCCCCACACTTTTAGCCCCCTCTCTTGCTGGTTTTTCCTGTTCTATGAATGGATAATAAACCGCTCGCATTGATTTAGAGCCTGAAACTTCACAGCATAAGATTTGCGTGCTGATTCTCTTTTTGTTCAGTTTCTTTGAGCTTGTCTAATCCTCCACCATAACTTCCTCTCACTGTATTCCAGTCACGAGATGCACAATTTAGTCTTTGTCCCATTTGAAAGTATTCTTTTATTCAAAGTTGGGCTCGATCCCTGATGTGATTACCGTTGTTTCATCTGTGCCAGCAGTTTATTAGACTAATCACCATAATTAAGTCGTACTCCTAAATGCTTTTGCAGTGCTGATTTCATTAATACACATGATAGTTATTTCTTTCCTTTTATCATTAATCTTTGTTTCCTTTTTATATCCTTTCCTCTCCCATTCCCATCCTCATTGCTTTTTTCCCTTTTTGTTTCTTTACATATCCCATAATTTCCTCTTTCCTTTCCCTTCCTCGTAATCATCCTCTTTCCCTTTCCCATTCCTTTCCCATTCCTTCCTCTTCCCCTTCCTGTACCTTTCCCTTCCTTCTCTCTTCCTGATCACATCATTTCATCTTTCCTTTCTCTTCTCATTCTCTTCCCTGTTCCCTTAACCATTCATTTTCCCTCCCCCTTAATTTACCTTCTTCTTTTAATCCCTTTTGCTTTGCTTTTCTGTTCCTTCTCCATCCTCTTTCCCTTTCTTTTCCTTCCTCCTCTCTTTATCATTCTTACCTTTTCCGGATCCTTTCCCTTCCTCTTGCTCTCTTCACTTTTTATATTCCCTTCCCTTTTCCATCATTTCCCCTTCCTTTCCCTTTTTCCTTGCCCTTTTCCTTTCCTTTCCCGTTCCTTTCCTTTCCTGTTTCTTTTCTGTTCCTTTCCCTTTCCTTTCCCTTAACACATTCCTTCCTCTTCCTTTTCTGGTTCTTTCTATTTTCTTTTTCCTCTACCATCTCCTTATTGTTTCTCATCCTCTTTCCGTTTCCTTTTATTTTCCCCATTCCCACCCTCTCTTTCCTTTCCATCCATTACCTCTTTCCTAATTCTCTTCCTCTCTTCCAACAGTGTGATCGTAAAGAAGAAATTATTGAGAAGATCAAGCTGCTTGACATTGAGACACAGGCTACCATCGTAACTCATATTCAAGAAGTGAGATTCCCTGATGTCAACCAATAACTTATAAACATCATACATGGAGCATGTATTTGAGGGCTTTTTGATTACAGGTAACTCACAACCAGGAGAATGTTCTGGACCTGCAGTGGATGGAGGTTGAGGAGATTCCTGCTGAGCAGTTGGACCCTCTGTCTCGGACCATGGCCTTTCACCTACGTAAACTCATAGACGAGCGAGATGAGTCTGCTGAGGTATGCCAATCTAAGCAGCACCAACTACAGTCAACTTTTTTTTTTTTTTTTTTTAGGACGTTACATTAAACTTCTAAATAGATTGATCATCTCTGATTAGATGCTTATAGGTCTGATTTGTGTCCTTAGCTGATCATAGAGCTGACACAGGAAAGGGACTATCTTCAGTCCCAGCAGCCTTCCGGTCTCTTTGGTTTTTCTAGCCCTGAGCGCACCTCTCTATCCCCCGTCACCCTACTGTCTAAAGAAGATCGTCAGCATTTAGCTGTGGAACTGGCTGACACAAAGGCCAAACTGCGGCGCTCCCGCCAAGAGTTGTAAGTGTCTTTTGTAGAGTTACGACTTTTTACATCAGGTTTAAACTAACTAAACTGACAGCCGTAGCACTGTCAAAATAAAAGTCCTGCTTCTGACACAGAGAGAGGAAAACCATATCAGCTGATGTTTATTATAAATTTTGTCATATTTTTTTATATTTGCCTTGGCAATATATTGGTCATCCATTAGTTAAGCCTGTCAGTATTGTAAAAACTTACTCTTGTGTATGTACTCTCTACAGAGAGGAGAAGACGGAGCATTTGACTGATACCAAGAATGAGATTGAGCGCCTGGATGCAGAGATTCAGAAACTCAAGCAGGAGGTAACACATCAAGGGCCAGATTTACTAAACAGGGCAGATTAGCATGAAACTGCAATCCCTTAAAAGCACAGATAGAAGTGGAAAAGTTTTGTGTGTGATCTAGTGACGACGGTCAAATTAAAGAATACAGACGAAGCCCGATAATTTCTGTAATGACAACGCAATCTACCAAGAGCGCAAATTTGGGCATTAAATAATGGCGCAAATACCAGTAAATTGACTAGCGCAAACCTTAGTAAATCCTTTTGCATGATTAATTTACATTCATTTGTATTCTCCTCCCATACATTATGAAAGGGAAATTCCTACAAATACATCTGCAACAATGTCAGCCTCAAAAATAACCCTGTCTATGCCTTTTCAGCGCTAATTTTTTCACTCCGTGTCTTTAGTAAATCCTGACGTTGTTTTTCAATGCCAAAAGAGGCGCAAGCTGTTAGTAAATCTGGCCCCAAGAAAAATTCACACTTTACATGGTTTAATCAAACTGGATAACACTTTACTCTAGCTTCAGCGATCAGTGACTATCATCTGTTGTATTAATGTATGAGTAGAACATGCAGTTGCTGACAGAGGCACGTTCGGTGCGGGTGTACCGTGATGAGGTGGATGCTTTAAGGGAACGTGCTGGAAAAGTGGATCGTCTGGAAACGGAACTGGTTCGCTGCAAAGAGAAGCTAAACGATGTCCATTTCTACAAGACACGCATAGAGGTAACCAGACACTAACCTATATTACATTTCCATTTTAAGAACTTGCTTTTAGCGTTGTATTAAAAAACAGTGTGCCAATGTGCCTTAGACTTTGTCATTGTCTGGAAAAGCATGAATTATAAAGCCACACACCACTTTAATCAGAAGGGGAGAAATTGATTTCTTTGTGAGGTGACTGATGTACAGCTGCCTACTGAGAGGCCCTGCTGCTTTTATTTCTCAGATATAATGCCTCAGGTGTCCGAGGCCCTGAGCTGTCACTGACAGCCCTCTCTCAGTCTGCTGTCGTCATGCTCTATCACTTTTGATCTTTTCTTTTTGGCCATCTCTCTTGTCTCTCTTTTGTGCACAGGAACTAAGAGAGGACAATATGACTCTGTTGGAGACAAAGTCAATGCTGGAGGAGCAGCTAACTGGGGCTAGGGGGCGCTGTGACAAACTACACGAGCTGGAGAAAGAGAACCTTCAGCTGCGCTCCAAATTGCACGATATGGAAATTGTGAGTGTTATGGGAAATATCTTTTGGGGTGTTTATACGTTAATCTTACAATTCAATTTGGTTTTGTTCACAATGTGATTACAAAATAATCCTTGATTCATCTTTTGTTTTGTAACGTAGGAGTGATACGCTACAATAGGGCCGATAAAACCTGCTGTTGACCTAGCTGATTCATTTCCAAAGTATATGAAAGCTTTGATATTTGATACCTGAGGGTCCTCTGGAAGTGACCGCAAGAATGCCATTGATCCTTTAGCTATGGGTGGAAACATGCATTATGTAACACATGCCATATTCCTGACCTATTTTAGCTTAAGGTCTGTTCACATGGAGAGAAACTCGTCAAAGCAGCATGATTTTCTGAAAGAAAATACATTTTTGTAATAATTGTTGCCAAGTAACGTTCTAGCATGCACTCAGACAGCCTAGTCACAACCTGGAATACATTGGGAAGCACATAAAAACTACCAAGAAACACACTAGGCTTCACTAGATTTGAGAAAACATCTATGCAATGGATTTGTTGATCATTTTTCCCCCAGGCCTAAGTATACGATTTTTCTTCTTTTGTATGTGCATTAGGACAGGGACAGTGATAAGAAACGGCTGGAGGAATTGCTGGAAGAGAACATGTTGCTGGAGATCTCTCAGAAACAAAGCATGAATGAGTCGGCTCACCTTGGCTGGGAATTGGAGCAACTGTCCAAGAACAATGAGGTCAATGAAGGTGAGTCCAAAAAAATTTCAGTTTGAAACCTTCTGAGACAATGTCTTAGGCCCTGTTTACTCTTGGTATTAAGATGCGTTTTAGCTGATCGGATCCCAAGTGGATGACGCTAAGTATAAATGGGGTCTAAAACGTTTTGAGTTCGTCAACTTTCTACCACTTCCAGAGGTTGCCGAAACTACCTACTCTTGGACGAATATTCGAATATTAGATTCTGTGTTTGTAATGCTAACCCAACATAGAACCCTTTAGAAAATACAGCACAAAGAGTCAAACTTTGGTCATGACCTATTTTCTGTTTGTCAATTGTTTGTTTTAAGAACCCATCCCAATGCAAATATTCTGCCAACAGAGAATCTTGCCGTTTTGTTCATGCAAAGTGAACAAACGCTTATTTGTTAGTAATGAAGTAAGTCAATGTTATAATAAGTCAATGTTATCTTGAGAGATGGTAACTGGTAACTGAAATATCTCTACCCTCAGGCTGTTTGTAAGCCGTTAGGTGTGTATACATTGTTTTGAAAGGTAATGCACGGGTGACTAAGCATCTGCTTAATGTTTGTTACTCATGTATTTATAATATTTATTTTGCAGCCTATCTAATAAATACAATGTATACACATACAAAAAACGACATATACAATATAAAATATAAGAAACAATATAAATACAAAAAATAGTAGTTGATCAATATTTTTAAATAACCGTTTTAACATTTAAAGAGTAGGTACATTAGCTGATGGCTGATGTAATGCCTATACGGTATGGTTTAAAATCTGACACTGTGGGATTTAACATTTAGTTTATTAAAGCATTATTTATTGATAATCAGTTATAATGAATAATCAGTAGGTGATGCACCATTTTTAGCTTTTGCTCATAATCTCAATTAGATATGTTGTTAGTAGTGGGGGAAGACAAAACAATGCAGCCAATCTCAATGACATGCATTGTTTTGTCTTCTCCCACTGCAGCCCGTAAGTCATTTGTGTTTGAGCTGAATGAGTCCACATCCAGCCAACTGTTGAAGCTGGAGAAGGAGAACCAATGCCTTCAAAGCACAATCCAGGAGTTAAGAGAAGCCTCCATCAACCTGGAAGAAGGTCAGCTGCATACATTGGAGCTGGAAAAAGAGAACCAGAGTCTTAGCAAGAAGGTACATATCTTTTCCACATTTACTATTTACTGACAGCCAGAATATTGAATACTGATGAGATAACTTGTGTGTTAGTTGGAGCGTCTGCAATCCCAATTGGACCAGGAAAAACAGACAACTCAGGACATGGAGAACCTTGGAGATGAGCTACTGACGGAGAAACAGAGACTGGAGAAAACTCTAGAAACAATTCAGGCTGAGAAAGACAGACAGGTGAACATCTGAAGAAAGAAAACTCTTGTTATGTAACATGAAGATTACCAGTATAATAATTATTCATTCATAAGCTTAATTTGTTTGTGTGTGGGGGGGTATTAGATCTCAGAGTTGGAGCAGGAGAAGGAGCACCTGACCCAGGCGGTGAGCTCCCTCCGGAATCGTGCTCAGGTGAACAGTGAGGCTCGTGTGAGAGAGGTGGAGACTGAAAACCGCGTTCTCCACCAGACCATCTCTGAAACCGGTGGTAAACTTGCTCGCCTGGAGTCTGAGAAACGGCAGGCAACTAAAGAGCTAGACTCCCTCCGTGAACGAGCAGAGCGCTGTGAGGAGATGGAAAAGGAGGTAGCACGTCTGGAGCGAGTCCGAGAGCAGCTACAGCGGGAAGCCGCCTCCTTAAAGATTGGCAGTGAGCGTGTCGAGGCCCTGGAGTGTGAGAATGCTACTCTGGAAAAAGACAATCGCCGGCTGAAGAAGCTGGCTGACACGGCGCAGAACGCCAGCATGCGCTTGGCTGTTCTGGAGAAGGATCACCAGCAACTTGAGGAGGAGAACCTGGTGCAGAGGCGTGCGTTGGAGACCCTGCGGCCGGCAGCTGCTCGCCTGACACAACTACAGCAGGAACATGCCGAACTAGAGCGGGAACACGAGGAGATGTGCCGCACTTTGGAGGAGCTTCGCTCCCAAGCCAAGAGGAGCGAAAGATTGGAGATGAGCTACGGCAGTCTGAGCCAGGAAAACCAACGGCTCCAACAGACTCTGGACAACAGCGCCACCAAGATCCAGAGTCTAGAGGGCGAGCTGAGGCAGAATGAGGCGGAGAAGAAAGATCTACACCGAGAGTTAGAGGGCTTGAAGCATACTTTAACATTGGCGGAAGCAGTTGAGAAGGAGAAGAGAGGAATGGAGCAGGAATTGGGCCAGGCAGAGAAGGAGAAGAAGCAGCTGGAGAAGGAGACGCGTAGGTTGAAGCAGCAATTGGAGACGAAGGAGACAGCGCTGGAGGAGAACTGCCTCAGGCTGGCCAGCATGGAGAAAGAAAGCACGGCTCTCAATAAAGAGTTAGGCCGCCTTAAAGAGGCTGCAGGGAGACTCAAAGAGCTGGAGAGAGAGTACAAAGACCTGCAGAAACAGGCCACCATGGATAAGAAGACTCTGGCCACACTAAGAGAGGTATGACACATTTAGTACATCAGTGTCCACTATAAAGAAAGACATCTCTAAAAAATGTACTCCGTTGTAAAACATTTATATTTTTTTTTCATGAAAATGTTCTATTTAATGACTCCCAAGTAGCCATCGAGTACAATGTAACGGAAGTGGAGACATTTCTTCTATATTTTGACTTGGATCTGAGCTAAACTGATTATCAAAAATTAAAAGATGTAGGGTGGGGGACTTGGAACTATCTGTCGGTTGTTGACTGGATGGAGGCAGGTCTGAATGCGAGCTTGAGGTCGATTTTGAGAAAGGCACATTAGTAATTGCAAGGGATCAGATACGATTTATATGTCCAGACATGAGAAACCTATCTGCATGGGTTGCTTTGGTAAAGACGTAGGCGTACATAAGTATGTTGCGAGGCTTTCAAATCTGATGTAGGAGAAATGGAGGAAAAATTATAAATGTGATGCTCCGGAATCTGTTTGGACATACTGTTTAAATACCGTATTTCCATCACTGGTTTTGGCCTTATCGTTGTGTGTCGCATTAAGAGTGATGCAAAAGACAACTTTAAGAGACTTAAGTGGTGGTGCTCTGTATGGTATTGCTGGACTTCAGTGTTGGCTTTGCATATTCTTTCGAGCAGGAGCTGGTGAATGAGAAGTTGAGAGTGCAGCAACAGAGTAATGAATTGGAAAAGCTGAGTCACGAGCTGGAGAAGATCGGCTTGAATCGAGAGAGACTCCTACAGGAAGAACACAGCTGTGAAGACAAGTGAGTAATACCAGTAATAAGAAAATGATCAGTCATATCCTTTCTTGGGTTTAGAGTTCATTTGGTAGTTTGTAATTACAAGGTGTTGCAAGATGCTTTAAAGTGTCTTGTTTGTTTTATGTGGACGCTGCCCTCTGAAAGGTGTAGCAGGTGAGGTGATGCTAAAGTTGTAGACTACCAATGCGACATGCTTGTTTTTCTCTCTTGGACATAACATCACCACTTGTCTCGACTCTGTCTTTCTTTCCTCTCACTGCCTGTGTTGAGGTTAAAATGTTATAAGTAATGTGCCCTACACATTTCGATTGTTTTGCAAGTAATGCCTAGTTCACACTACATGATTTCAAAATGTCGGGCTGAACTGTGCAGTTCACACTAAATGACTTGCTCTCAGTGAAATCATGAGTGTTCAAGTTGTTTAGCTGTTCACACCACACAACACAACGTGATTGATCCACAACAGGACGTAACTCACTACACGAGTTAACAACGCACTACACAGAGATACAACCACGATCGGATGATAAGAGCAAATCATTTGTGACTCAATGAGAGCTGTTTCAGTACTATAGTACGGTCTAAATCCTGAAAATAATCAAACAAATAACGAGTTGACAACAACACGATTCTATCCGGTCTAGAAACCATGTTTTGTCACGAAAAACCACGCAATAAAACGAACCAGAAATGACGCGAAACTGCAGAGAAGAACACAACACGCGAATATGGACGTCAGACAGAAACTAGTGCTGCACACTGTTTGCTCGACGATCTGCTCTGAGAAAAAAAAATGCTAAAAAGAAAAAGTAAGATTTACCTGGTGTCCTCAACCCATGCGTTGCTATGATTGGCTGTACTCATGACATCACTGAGATTGAGTCGCGCGACTGCTCGAGATATCTAGCATGCTAGATATTTTTCTGAGCTCGGTGACCTGTCTGCGAGGTGTCTGCGAGCTGTCTTTGATGCGTTGTTGGCTCTTTCACACTATCGGATTGGCGAGCGTTAATCGTCCGCTAATCGCCCGCGATTTGCACGCGATAACACCCTGACTTGTCGGCGACTCAACGATTTGCAAATCGGGCTTAAATCGGGCTTAAAATCACGTAGTGTGAACTAGGCTTAACACATTCATTTTTAAATTTACACCATACAAAATTACCTAAAATGCTACTTGCATGCTACATGCTACTAAATTACTTTCTTTTTAAAAGTAGTGTTTCCCAACACTTTTAGTTGCCTCAAATCTGAGTCAAAGTGCATGCTATCTTTACTGTATAGTGTGTGTGTGGTTCAGTGACCTGTTATAAGTTCTTTACATGGTTGTTGTCTACAGGAGCTTTGCGGTGTTTATAATTGTTTCTTTCATGTTGAAGCCCCAGTATGAAGAAATTACAGAACTGACTCTTGGTATATACTCCAGTTTGATTAGTTTTCACTGGAATGTTCCCTGTAGAGGGATCAGTAGTGAAGGATTCTACTTTCTCTATAAGGAAATGCTCATTCTTTCTCTCTCTCACACCTTTAACCCCATTATTACGGTGAGTGTGACATCTGACATGTATTTGTAAGTTAGATCAAAAGGAATGAACGTGGCTGAATTAAACGGCAACATTTCTCACCAGCTAATAGTGTCATAAAAAGCTAGTTGTCTAATCGCTTCGTGTTTGAAGAAATTTACCACTAACAGTCACATTCCACTGTGCTTTGTAATCCCTCCAAGAAGGTGTGTGTGTGTGTGCGTGGGCGTGTGTGTGTGTGTGTGTACCTACTTACTACTATATTTTACCATACCAAAACCTCCTTGTGGGGACGTCCTCGTGTAAAAATGGCTTAAAAATAAAGTAAATGCAGGTTTTTGTTTTGTTTGTTATTTTAGTGTAAAAATTCTGTTTTTACCAAAAAGGTGTTTTGGTAAGATTAGGGTGCGGGCTAGAATTAGGTTACAGTATTTATAACTAGCTGATATAAAAACTATAGAAGTTTATGCAATGTCCCCATTTAGCTAAGTGTGTGTGTGCTCGTGTTATATGATAGATATTGAATTTTTTAAATGTGTCTTTAGGCTATGGCAGTTTTGTTGAAACTGTTCAAAACTTTTTAATTGAAATAAAGCTAAAATATAAATATTAGCAGAAAAGCTTAAAATTTGACAACTTAAATGAAAATTAGAAAAGTTCTAATGTTGACTTGGCAACTAACTGAAATAGTATTAAAATTACTAAAACTAAAATTAAAGCTAAATAGAAATATGTTAAAAAACATGAAACTAAACATGGAACTCTAAAAGTAAAAGCTAGTGACAATTGTTATAAATACAAATAATAAATAATACAATCCAAAAATGACTGATCTATGGACTCGTTCAGCCCTGTGGATTTTAACCCTTAAGCTTTTTAATACTCACTAGTTAATTTTTCTACTAGCTATGTCAAACAGAGAACCTGCACTTTGTTTATTTCAAACCAATGTAATTTCAACCTCATCTCATTCTGAAATCTTCTTTTTTTAAATGACCAACTTTTTGTTTTATTTTATTGCTAAGGCTGTTGTAATGACTTACTGTCAGAGACCTAAGCTTTCCTATTTGACTAGTCAGATTCTGATGCTCACACAGATTTAACATTCTAATATACCAGCATTGCATTTATTCATTCTTCAGTAAATATAAGATCCTGGAGACAAAGATTGAGTCGGCACTGAAGAAAACTCTAGAACTTAGAGAAGATAAGATCCAGAGACTGGAGTCTCGCCTGGAGGAGAGCAGAAGCTTAAACCAGCAACTTCGCACTGAACTCACCACTGTATGTTCAGGCCTTCTCAAACTACTAATATATACAATTAAAAACACAGAAAGTTGGGAAAATGGTGAAAGGAATTCTGACATGTTGCATCTTATTCTGTTCTGTTGTCTTCCTTCCAGGTGAAAAGGAACCTTGAGGCCCTTAAGCAAAGGCAAGAAGAGGAAGCGGCTCACTCTGATATCTCCCAGCAGGCTTTGGGGCAGGCTAGATCAATCCCAGATAAAGAGAAGTGGGAGACTGAGCAGAGGGAGGCCACAGCTGAACTCCTCAAGATGAAAGACAGACTAATCGATGTTGAGAAGAATGTAAGATGACATATTTATATCAACCCAGCTGCTCAACTTATTCATTATCGCCAGTAACGTGTAACATGCTTTTGTGAACTCCCCAGAACGCTGCCCTGCAGACAGAGAAACATCTTCTGAAGGAGCAGCTGAAGCAGTTAGATTCCCAGAATGCACAGCTCAACGCACAAACACTAGCCCTGCAGAAACAGGCTGCGTCTTTACAAGAGCACAACACCTCTCTTCATAAAGAAACTGCCAAACTGCAGGTACATTAATCATTACTGTCAGGCTTCTGTTTTTATATTTTAATTCAGTAGGCCTTAATTGTGTTCACTACTGAACTGAACATTATATTTTAATAAAAACATTTTTTACATTTTCACATTTCTTTTCTTTTAAAAACATAAGGCTGTTAGTTTTCATATTGATTTTAAAATTCTCATGCTCACTTATAAGGCCCTGAATAACTTGGCCCCTCAATATTTGCGTGAGCTCTTAACCCCCTACACTCCTACACGTGCTTTGCGATCTTCTGAAGCTGGTCTTTTAACCGTCCAAACAACACGGCTAAAAACTATGGGTGATCGGGCTTTTTCTTCTTTAGCTCCAAAATTGTGGAATTCCCTGCCCTCTGAGATTAGAAATGCAGAATCACTTAGAGTTTTTAAATCCTCCCTTAAAACGTACTTTTTTAGGGTGGCTTTTATGTGATTGTGTGATCACTGTGATTGTTATTTTATTTGCCTTTTATTTTATTGCTTGTTTAGTTCTTATTGCCTAGACTGTTGTGTCTGTCTATTTCCATTATTTTTTATGTAAAGTGCTTTGAGATACTACTTTTAAAAGCACTATATAAAATAAAGTTTTATTATTTTATTATTATTAATAAAAAAAAATCATGATTAATCTCATGATAACCATGTCAAATTTTGTAATGTTACTATTCTCCCTTTTTTTCTCCATTAAATTTTTTTCTCCTGGAAATAATTTTTGACATCTATTTACTTGCTTACACCATTAAAATAAACCACCTGCTTGTTCATGACAAGAAATTAGTACATGAGCTGTTATACAGGATGCATCAAAGTGAACTTTCCTTTACGTTTCCATTTACTTTTGTATTTGTTGAGAATTGCAACAGAAACTGAGCACGCCTCTGTATACACTGTAGACAGCGGCAGTGATTATAATGGGTTTAATTTGCTTTTAACGCAACACTCGCATCCAGTGTAGGCAAATGTCATCCGTTAAGCTACTGAACTCGAGTGGGCGGGGCCTATGATGCGATGATGTGTAACTATTCGTCGATGTCTTGCTCTGGAGGCAGGCACAAGCAAAAGTATTTGCCCGTGTGTTGTCACAGATCCCACATTATCCAAATGAGTCGTTTTTGGATCTTGATGAAATAAATGCTTTCGTTATTACGAGGAGGACGTTTGAAGATATGAAACTTGCAGGATGTTTTAATGGTACAAAGATCTCTTGTATGTCAAAAGATCAAGGCAAATTTGATTTCTCATGTCATGACCCCTTTAAGAATTTTGGGATTGGCTAATCAGCACTTCCTTTTTGATCTCCAAAACTATCTTGACATTTTCAGACGCATAGAAATGGTTGGCATTGCCAATGCTTACTAGGCTCAGCAAATACTGTAAAAAAAAAAAACAGGTGAGGGTGCCGCCTTCTGTTTTTTGGTTGAGTAAGGGTCATTAGTGACATGAGAAAACAATTTTGTGGCCAAAGAGATGGCAGGTGTGATTCAACAGACATTTCCAGAATGAGAATGAAATGTTCACCTGTTCCTCTCTGACCCATACAGCAAAAAAAAGGCAGTTGCTTTGTTCAGCCAAGGATAAAGTCAGTCTATCTCTCTGTCTGTCTGAATCCTTAGATGTCCAATTTTCACGGTTGTTCTTCTCTTCTCCTGTTCAGGTGGAAAATTCGACCCTGATCTCCCAGAGCTCCTCTCTCATGGCTCAATATGGAGCTTTACAGGCCCAGCTGCAAACTATGGAGTCGGAGGTTGAGACTCTTCAGAAACAGCGCGAGGAGGTGTGTGCAGCCCGAGACCGAGTCACGCAGGACCACGAGCGCCTGCTCAGCGTACACGACAGGCAGGCGACCGAGTACGAGCAGTTCATCGCCCAACACGCAGCGCTGAAAGGCAGCCTGAGAGCTCTGGAGCAAGAACACCGCACGCTGGAGAGCAAGTCAGTCCCTTTCCAACTCAATCAGTCCAATTAGGTCTATATGCGAAACGAGAAGAAACTAGTTTTTGGGATATTCTGTATACCACCTTATATTTTGAGAAGAATTGTCATGATCAAAATAATGACATGCAAAAATAATTAATCATAAAAAAAAATAATAATTATACAATTTCTGCAGCAGGTTTAAGAGCCCAGTTGGGGACGTTTGTTGAGTTATTGACCCTTTCCATAGGTGGCAGCTTATGCATCTTTCTGTCTGCCTGAGGAGGCTGTGTAACAATAGAGTAATGAGCTGCGTCTGGTCTGAGCGGAGACGCCACAATGACCCCATACCATTAGCACTGCTGACAGAGACTTTGCGAGATGGAGGGTCCTTAAAGGGACAGTCCGCCCAAAAATCTAAATTCTGTCATGTACTTACTCTCATGTCGTTCCAAAACTGCGACTTTCGTTCTTCTGCGGAACCTAAAAGTTTTAAAGAAACTACCGGTAATAATATAATGCATAATATTTTGAAGAATGTTGGTAACCAAATGGTTTCGGCTCCCATTGACATTTTATTGTACGGACAACCATTACAATGGAAATCAATGGGAACTGAAACTGTTTGGTTACCAACATTCTGTAAAATATCTTATTTTATGTTCTGCAGAAGACAGTCACTTGCACATGTTTGGTATGACTTGAGGCTGAGTAAATGATGACTGAGTTTTCTTTTGTCGGTGGACTGTGCCTTTAGTAAGGGTTTAGTGCTTGTAAAAATAGCCTTTTCCCCCCAACTATAAGCAAATGTGTTTGATAACAGTTGTAGGTTTTAAGGCCTGGTGTTGCTCATGAAACAGCCCCAATGGGAATCTGAATTGTTTTTTTAGAGGTGGGTCACAGTGGAAAATGTCCCTTATTTTTATACACACACATTAGACATTAATTAGCACAAACACAACCTGCTCTAATACACACTAATCTACTCAATGTCACACTCATTTTTCCATGGTGCAGTGTGGAAAGTTGTTTCTTTTGTTAGAAACAGGAAAAACATGGTTTTGTGTGCCTGTAGTTTTGTAGTCTCCCCTTGTCTCTTGTATCACTCTGTCTCATGAATAATGCAGTGGTGTGTCTCTGGGGGCCTCAGCTGAGGGGGTCACCAGATGGCTGTCAGGGCCCCAATCAGCTGTAATGTCCACCGGCCTCAGCGTCCATGTCCAGCATGCCACCTGTCACAAACACACACTCTCAATCTCCTAATTACTATTATTTATTTAATCTAGCAACATCAGTTTAGAACAGTACTGGGTTTTTGGGGGACTGTTGGCATTTGGGGAAGCTGGTTCCCAAGATTCAGTGTTGAGGAAAGTTACTTTTTAAAGTAATTCATTACAATATTCAGTTTCTCCCTAAAAACTGATTGGAAACTAAAAGGAAATGCAAATTCACACCTGAATAGTAGAGGACGCAGCTCAAACAAACCCTGCAGAAGAATATGACCCATGAGAAGAAAAGTTCAACACTTACTTGAGCAATAAACTAAAAAAAATGAATAAAACCCAAATGTGCTGTTTATCTAAAGTCATGTATGCTTATTAGTTTGGTTGATACTTGTTATTTATTTGAAAAAGTAACAAATATTTTGATGTGAATTTAAAAGTAATGCGTTACTTTACTAGTTACTTAAACAAGGTAATCTCTTTATGTAACTTGCAATGCGTTACCCCCAACACTGGTAAGCTTTTTCTGTTTGGTGAACCCCACGACTTTAATTATTTACTTTAAATACCAAGTAATGCTAAACTTTCAATGAATAATGGAACATCTCCACAAATAATTAAAACATTATTTCTCCAAAATATATTTCGTCATGACTGTGTATGAAAAAGTCTAAGGCACTTACAAACATGGCTTATCACGATAACAATAATAGTTGTAGTAGTAGTAGTAGTAGTAATAATAATAATAGTAATAATAAATATATTTTGGATGAATAGAAAATAAATAACTTCTTGAGTGTGCACCGTTAAGTGATTTTATTTAATCAGTGTTGGTTTTTTTGTACATGCATTAAAAAAAATTGATTTACTTCATTTTAATTTAATTACAAAATATTAATGCATGTATTAAACAAACATTTTTAATTTAACAGTTCCATCACAACCCCCTTGCTTTGTGAACCCCTAACCCTAACCATTTGGGCCTTTGTCAGATTAGACCCTGTCTTCAATTTGACACAAATGAAAGTGAGTCTGTGACAGATCTTCAGTTGCCTATTGTTAAAAGGATTAACAATCAGGCGTGCTTTACGTCTACTGGAATTGATTTAGAAATATATGTTCTTAGTTTCGTAGGCTTAAATGGATGCCATAAAGGAATACAACACTGTTGACATCAAATAATAAATATAGCATCTCCCTTAAAGGGGTCATCGGATGCAAAATTCACTTTTACATGGTGTTTGCATATAAATGTGTCTTTGCAGTGTGTGGACACAACAACCATACAATGAAAAAAATCCATTCACTCCTTTTTTTTTTAATCCTCAAAAAGCCTAAACACACTCAATAATCAGGCCATTTAGATTTTATGAGCAATATGATGTTCATGCTCCACCCAAGACCACTGGCGGCATTTTTTTTTTTAGCATATTTGCGCCCTCAGTCATTTGTTTATTGTCCAAAAAGGGTGTTACACATCCATTGAGGAATTTTCAACCTGCTCTACATTTAGTGCTAATCAGAATTTACTTCCTTATAATCCAGTATCATGAGACTTGATTGTGTATTAGAGAAATGGTTTAGTTAAAATCACTGTTTTGTATGTATTGTTTGTGTTGAACAGATATACGGTTATCCTGAAGCAGAAGGACGCTATGGAGGCGCTGGAAGCGTCACAACACAGGGACAGAGAGAGACTGGGGGAAGAAATTCACAAGAACACTCTAATTCTGGGGGAGAACCACAGTTTAAGGGAACAAGTGGACAGGTTAGAGAGACTTTTTAACAACAAAATGCACTCAGTAGGAAGCTTTCAGTTAAAACCAGGCTGAGTTTATTCTTTGCAAATATTTACTGCCCTCTGCTGGCTGGAATAGACTTCAGTAATTCAGAAATTGTAACTACTTAAATGTAAGCATCCACAATATTCCAGCCATCTTTATTTATTATTAATATATGAAGAGTTCAGATGCAAAAGCCTCTAAATGCCATTTGAAATTTTCTTCTTTAATGATGATTTTTATCAAACTTGTATATTTAAGTTCAGTAATTTCACTTAAATGGCAATGATAATTACCTATTAATTGTTATTTAAGTGAAATTAATGAAATAAAATATACAAGTTTGATAAAAATCATCACTAAAGAAGAAAATTTCAAATGGCATTTAGAGGCTTTTGCATCTGAACTCTTCATATATTATAATGTGTATAATATTTAAAAATGCATTATAATGTATAAAAATATTATATAAAGCATATCAAATAATACCATCTAAGCCTCTGTTTATGTCCTTCCAGAATGTCACAGAATCACACACAGCTGAAGCGGGAGTATGACAGCCTGCAACTGCAGACCAAAGAACTAAAGACTTCTCTGAATGAGTCTCAGCTGGAATTGAACCGATGGCAGGCACGTTATGACCAACTGAAGGAACAGCATCAGGGCCTGGACATCTCAATGACCAAACTGGACAACCATTGTGAGGTTAGCGTTTGAGATCTTACAGGATGAAAGAACTGAAGCGTCTTTATAAAGCTTCTGCAGAGAGCCCAAGACTGTACTGTACCATCACAAGCCGGGCCAGATATTGATTCCAAGGCTTGAAATTGATTCGTTTTAGCTTCCAGTGCTAATGTATCTTTCGTTCTCTCAATTTAGCTGCTAACCCGTTTGAAGGGAAACTTGGAGGAGGAAAACCATCATCTTCTCAGTCAGATCCAGATGCTTAGTCAACAAAACCAGACCCTACTGGAGAGAACCATGGAGAGCAAAGAACTTTACCATGAAGAACAGAAGCAATACATGTGAGCCGTGTGCCATTTATCAGCTTCCCATCATATATCAATGATTCCCATCCTGGGTACTAGGAATGATTATGATTTTGCATTGTTAAAGCTATAACACAGAAATTACAAAGCATTAGTTGATTTAAATTGCGCATTGTGCTGTTTTCTATGTCATACGATGCAGGTAATGATCCTATTGTGAACGATTCATCTATGTGAATGTACAAACAATGAACCTTGTCGTTTCCAATTATGACATTTTGATTATAAATACAAACTTCTCTCTTGTGACTCTCCAATAATTTATTGTACTTAAACTCCGCCTCTTTCTTATGATCAAATGCAAGGTCGCATTCATATCTGCCTCCATACGGTCAACAATCAATGTATGGAACCAAGTCCCTGCATTATTTTTATTTATTTTTATCCTTTGTGATAATGTAATGTTGCTGTTCCTGTGATCTATTTATTATTTGACATGCTTAACATTGATTTAATTTATTTTAATCAAGAAACTTGTGGTAGAAACAGCCATTTTCTTAATAGTCTTGGTTTCCTCTTGCAGTGATAAGCTGAATTCATTACGACGACAGAAGGAGAAATTGGAGGAGAAGATCATGGATCAGTATAAGTTCTATGACCCGACTCCTAAAAAGTGAGTCCAACTGATTAAGACTGAATAGACTTTACTCTTAGGGCAATTTATCAAGTTCAGTTATATCAAGTTCTTTGTATTTTGATAACACAGGAGCCGTCACTGGGCTGGAGCCAAAGCAATAGCAAAATTCATGAAACCTAAGAAAGAAAGTTCACGAGAACGGGTGGATGGTCCACGTGAGAGGGTCCGAAGCGCTCCTGACATCCCTCTTCCAGAGATCCCCACATGCATAGACTGTCCTGAGAGCATGCCACCCCTTCCCCCTCCACCACTGCCCCCCAGACAGTCACGTCTCAGTCAGGACTCCATGAACGGTCACTCCGCTGAGGAGAATCACACACAGTCTCCCATCCTCTCACCAGCCCTTAACGGCCGAGGTGAGTTCTGCTGTCACAGACCTGAACTAAACCCCTCACGTCAAGTTATACAATGGTTTGGATCGATATATAAATCAGAGTTTGATTCTTCTACTTTTCCTACTATTGTTTAAAGGTACGGGGCACCCACAAATTATTTACTCACCCTCATTTTGTTCCAAACCTATATGACTTTCTTCTGTGGAACACAAGAGATGGTATTTTGAGAGATGTCCATACAATGGAAGACAGACAGTGGTAACTAAAACGTGTTGTTTTGTACCAACATTCTTCAAAATATCTTCTTTTATGTTCCACAGAAGAAAGAAAATCAAACCGTTTTGCAAGACAGTACATAAGTCATTTTTTTAGTGCTTCACAACGATTAATCGCATCCAAAATGAAAGTGTGTGTTTACATAATAAATCTGTGTGTACTGGGTATAATTATTCTGTATATAAATACACAAACATGTGTATTTATATACAGAATACAAATGCATGTATATATTTAAGAAAAAATTGTTATTTATGTATAATTTAAATTTTGTATAAATATATGTATACAGTATATACAAATATTGCTTATATATATATATATGCATGTGTATTTGTGTATTTATATATACAAAATTTATAAGTGTGTATACTGTGTATTTTGTATATATAAATACATACACATGCATGTATACATGTGTGCATGTAAATACACGCGTGTATTTAAGAAATATTTGCATGTATATACTGTATATGTGTATGTATATATATATATATATATATATATAAATATTTTTATATATAAATAAAAAATTCTTAAGTATAGATGCATATGTTTGTATTTATATAAAAAATAATTATACACAGTACACACACATATATTATGTAAACACAAACATTTATTTTGGATGTGATTAATCATTGCCCAGGACTCTTTTTTTTTTTTTTACTTGGACATAATTCTACAATAAAAGGGACAAGTGGCAGCATCAATAGTGGAAGTGATTACAAATTAGAAAGTTGCTTCCATATTAATCAAGAATAACACTAGAGTCTATATGATTCATACTCCTGATGCTCCTTTTCAAACAATTTTTGGGTCCTGGCGCCATACGAGTTCAGAAAACTAAACTAAACATTCTTAGGTCTGCACTAAAACCTCAAATTGGTACAAAAAAAGTTGGGACACTTTCATTCAAACACGTTTTAGTTGCAGTAAAGAAGCATTTAGTTTGCTATCTATGTTTTCCACTAGGGGGCGCCATGCGAATTATTCTGGGTTATTGGTATTATAACAACCTCTTTTTCTTCTTGACGTCCACTCAGTGAACTAATCTTGGTGTAAATTTCCATTTTCATTTCTCGGCTTTTCAAGTAATAATACTTTCCAAAAGTTTCATGCTATTGCATGGCCAAAATAATCTTCTAAGGAAACCCCTGGGCTTCTTTCCTCATGAATCATAGATGTTGCCATTTTTCAATCTCTGAATCATCATTTCTTCTCTTCCACTGACCCCTCTCTCTCTCCCTGTCTATATGTATCTGTCTGTACATTAACCCTCACACACTCCAGCCCCTCCAGCAGCGAAGCATTTCCGCTTTCTTAGGAGCAAGAGCCAGGAGAAAATGCGCGTTCCGGGGACGCCGCCATCTCGACGATCCCTTACCAGACGCCTACGCTTCTGGTCCTCATCTGATAACATCGTCCCCTGCCCCCCCTGCGAGCCTTTTTCGCATATCGGCCATTTCTAACTCTTTATCCTTTCCATCAACATCAGTCACCATCAGTACTCTTTCCATCTACCATTATTCACAATTTTTTTTCTTTTCTTTTTTTAAAAAAAGCATCAAGCTACACTTTTTATACACTAAAACCAGCCAATGCACACTCTGAGCTAAGCAAAATAAGCATTTTTAAATGTTCCTATCACCATCACAGGCTCACAGTACTCAATCAAGACGATGAAACACACATGAATACGCACAACACACACCTTAACCACACCTCATTTAAATGCTCTGGGGGGCTCTGGGACTGGGCTGCGGGACTCTGAATGCCACCCTGCAGTAAGTAATGTGAATTAAATGGAGCGAATTGCAGCCCGCTTTGCGCTTGCTGTGAGAAATTTGTGTTTGATATTGCCAGCACTGAATAATGCGGGGTAGATAGGTGACCACAGTTGCAAATCGATAGTAATCAAATGAAGTGCATGCATACAGAGAGAGGTTGAAAGACAGAGGCTACAACTTCATCAGATGCTCCTAGCTGAAAGGAGGATTTATGCTGTGTGCTTCGATGTGTGGCATGTGAACTTGCAAGCTTAAGTTTTGCTCAAAATGGCCTGCAATATTTAATTATATCCAGCAAACAGTGTCCAAGTTTGTCATCCTTTTTTTTTTTTCATCTTTAACATTATCCTTTGTTCGTCCACTGTAGGTCACGTACATGTGCATGCGACTGTCCCATTTATGTGTGCAGGGTTCACATGCAAATCAGATAGACCTGGCTGAGATGCATTGATTTTTACCTTAGCCTTTTCAGCGCACATCACTTATAAAAGCCATTCTTGGGGGTGGGAATGTGTGCATGTCCCATAATTACCATTCTCAGGACAGCAAGAGGCATCTTAATTGTACAACAGCTTCAGTAAGAATAAAATAATTAGATTTACATGTTGCATGGTTTGTGTATTAAGCAAGAAAAACTAAACTCAAATACCATCGTGTGATTATTTTCAGGTGTAAAACGGATGCTTTCTGTTTCCGCTTCTGTGCTTATCTCCCCACCCCATCATTATTTTCTGTGAAAAACAAACCAAGACCAAAACCAAAAAATGATGCAACATTGCGAGTTAGTATATGCATTCAGACACATTGAACCAAATAGAGAATGCATGTTTGAGTCTGGCTTGTGAATTTCGGATCTCATTCTAGGACCAAAAATGATGTTGAAAATATTCACAGCTGTAGTGTTATCGGTTGGCACATGCACCCTGGCCTTCAATATTTCAAATCTCATTTTTGACATTAAAAGTGGTTAAAAAGGCTAAAAATATATCTAGAATTACTTGGGTCTGTAGCGTAGTGTTTAGCATATGCACTTTGACACAATTGAGCCATGGTGTTCATATAGACAATGCATGTTTGAGTCTAGCTTTGCAATATTTCCCATCTCTTTTAGTTCATTCAAAGTGGTAAAAAGGCCAAAATCATTATGCAGAATTACCTACAACTTTAAATTACCGCTTGGCACATGCACTCTAAAAAATACAGCCATGGTCCTCATGCATGATTGAGTCGTGCTTGCAACAATTTGTCATTTGAAGCCATTAAAAGCCATTTAGTAGAACTTGTGTTATAATGTTCTAGGCAGTTATGGAAACTATTTTCTCCTGGTTTTTAAAACCATGTAAGGGATCGTTTGCAGAATGACTCTAATATAATCTCATAAAGTATCAGAGTTTTCCAGCTGGTGTTTTAGTTTGGACACAGCGGTGAAGCTTAAAGGAATTTTTGGGTTAAATACAAAGCTCTGTCCACAGCATCTGTGGCAACAGTGGCATGCTGTCAATTTATCCAAAAAAAAAATTTAATTTGACTTGTTCGTCAATATGCAAAAGCAAACAAAAATGATGTTTACAGTAATCCACTTAGCTTGGAAGTCTCTGGGTCAAGATGTTGCACCAGAGTGCAAGTTTAAATGTGCACTTCTGGCTATACTGTGTAGACACAAGACTTATAGATATATACTGGTTTGTTTTTTCAGCAACCCATGAAAATTACTCTAAAAAATGCTGGGTTGTTTTAACCCAATTTTGGGTCAAATATGGACAAACCCAGGTTACATCATGTTGGTTACATTGGGTTACATTTTTAAGTTACATTTTTAACCCAATGTTTGAGTTGTTTTGAACCCGGAACTTTCCTTTAACCTTATTTAAAGTGGAGTGAAAGTTCAGCTTGAGTGTTTTTTTTTCTAACACATGCTTGTGCTTTTGCCTCAACACCTCCTACACAGCTTCCTGCAGCGTCACTGGAGCCCAGCAGCAGCGCTTGCACTGCACATGCTCTGTACACGCCACAGATACTGACCTTTTCTCTTGATTTTTATTTAATTATTTTTTTTTTAAGTGTTGAACGACTCCAGAGGCAGAGAGGGCTATCACTCAGTTGGCGGCAGTATTGAGGGCATGAACGGGTATGAGGAACTGGTCCGATGGAAGGGCAGGGAGCCAGGAGCCACCTGTTCAACTCCACTGAGTCGCAACTCCCATAATGCACCAGGCTTCACGTCCTCTTCTAGCTTGCGGCCGGGACGCAGGCCAAAGGGTAACCCTAAATTATGCAGATTAGTACATATGTCAGTGTCCTTGAGCCTCAAATGACAGACCATGTTTATTCTGTCATGTTTGGTATAATTTATACCAAACATGACAGACGCTTATAATTTCTACCAAACATGACTCTTTTCCACTACACGGTACCAGCTCGACACCACTCGGCTCGCGTTTGTTTGGTTTTCCACTGTGTAAAAGTTGTAACTGTACCTGCTTTCGGGTACTTTTTTTCTATCACCTCCGGCGAAGTTCTGAGCCGATACTAAAATGTGTCGTGAAAACAATGCCGACTTCTGATTGGTCAGAGAGAATCGTCACAATTCACTGCTTCATCATTGCACGTGCCAGATGGAGTATCCAGAATAACCCCGCCATTTTTAAATAGTTTGGCCAGAGATAGTTACTAAAATAACTACTATTATTATGGCAACTCGGATGAATACGCCGTGGTTAAACGAGGAGTTGCAGACTTGCCTTTGTTTGGTTGCCGAAGAGAGGATCCAGCGAGAGCTCCAACGAGGAACGAAAGGCGTTGCTATGACGACCGGGTACTATTTGTAGCGGTACTGTCTGCGATGGAAAATGGAGCGAAAAGCGAGTTGAGTCGAGCTAGTACTGGTAATGGAAAAGCGCCATTAGAGACACTGATTTAGTGGTCTGTATTGTATTTATATTATAGAACAATTTTGGGTGCTTTTAGATTTCACTATTAAATGAATATTTTGGGTTAAACACAAAGGGGGAAAATCAATTAAATATTAATAGCATGTCATTATTTATTTGTTGTTTCGATGGGTGTTCACGGTTAATGGCCCTACCCACTCTGTCAGCTTCTCAATTTTCTTCAATATTTAAGTTCAGTTGTTGAAGTTTCCGTTGAGAGAGTTTGTTGTTTTTCATACCGCGTTAGTTTATTTATCCATTAGCAAGTTTACATTGTGTAATGTGCCACGATGTACACATGGGGGCTTCATCTTTAAACACCACTGACCCTTTCAGTGACTCTCAACTCCCAGCCAAAAAGCCTGAAGCTCATTTCATCAATTCACTTTCAGCGTAATAATAGCGAAGCGTTCACTCTAAACCAATGTTTATTTTCAAGCTCTTGAAGCTTTCTCAGATATCCACTGCAATGCGTAAACAAGCACTCATGTTGGCACAAACGCACACAGGAAGACTGCAGTAGCCAGAAGCCTATCATGTCTAATAATGGCACTGTTCTTAGAAGAGCATCTTTAAAAGGGGAACTAAATTGTGCGGGAAAAAATGATCTATTAAAAAATATATGCTACATATACTGATATTTTCACTGCCTCATTGTTGGGCTACACTCTACTTACTTTCAGGGTTGCTCTCAGAGGAGGACTTGCGCCATCATTCCCCAGATGCTGGCTTTGGCAGCGGTGTCCATGGAAACACAGGTAAGAGAATTTACTAAATCAATACATGTTGCCTTTACAGCCTGTTTACCTCCTGTGCTTATTCAGTTTGTGATGTGTGCCCCCCCCCCACAGGCCCGCGGCCCAGTTCTGCCGAATTTAGCCGCAACACCTCCAGCAGCAATTCCCCCATCAGTTCTAAAGGTGTGTGTGTGTGCGCGCACGTGTGCCGTCTGTTACATATGCATGCATAGTCACTTCATTAGCTGTTATGGAAAATGCCACCCCCGCACACTCTCTCTTTCAAGAACTATTGAGAACGGTAATTGTTTCTCAGGTTGAAATAAAGAACATTAGCATGGCTCCCACAACTTATTAATTTGCAGAGGCAGCTCTGTTGTCGAGAAAGCATTATTGAATTAATTATAAACACTTCAATTATTTAAGTTCATAAAATGGTTATTTCATTGATTATTAATTAAATGTATTCATTTTTATAATCTTTATTTTTATATTGGTAATACACTAGCATTCAAAAGTTTGGGGTCAGTAAGATTTTTTTTTAAATAAATTAATATTTTTATTCAGGTATGTTAAAGGATTTTTCAAATAAATGCTGTTTTAGGTTTGTATTTATCAACAAATCCTGAAAAAAGCCTTATTTCCACAAGAATATTAAGTTGCAAAACTGTTTTCCGCATTAATAATAAATGTGTAATAATAAACATTTGTTTCTTGAGCATCAAATCAGCATATTAGAATGATTTCTGAAGGATCATGTGACATTAAAGACTGGAGTAATGATGCTGAAAATGCAGCTTTACCATCACAGAAATAAATACATTTTAAATTAAATTAGAAAAACAGTTTTTTTTATCAAATAAATACAGTCCTGGTGAGCATAAGAGACTTCTTTCAAAAACATCTTGTTTACCCCAAACTCCAGTGTATATGTCAGATTAACCCATCACTAAATGGCACATAAAAACAGATCTTGTTTTTATATAGTTTTGTCTATGTACATGTCAGTCAGGACCATGTCAGTCAGGACCAAGCTATTTGAGAGAAATATTATCATGATTTATTTGCACCATGTTCACAGGGTTGCTCTTTATTTTACAGTATGTGTACTTGCAGTGTACTCACCTAAGAAAGTACTGGGTAATATGAGGTAACTGCATGGGTTAAGGTTGGGTTTCGGGGCAGGTTCAGGGTTAGAACGTAGTATTTTAATTACTATAATAACTACGTAGTATGTGCATGGGGAACCGGACTTTAAAGAGTGTTTAAGTGCTACCCAGTGTATTCATTTGGAGACTTGCAATCACTGTGGTGTGGCAAAGTAGTTTGTGGTGCTTGCTAAGAGAAGATAAAAATGCTGCTGTGCCTTTAATAATAAAGTATCTTGCATTTTTTTTTTACCATTATTGATGAGAGAAGACTTCCTAATGATCAGTGCTAGCCTGATTAGCTCTATGTGTTTTGTTTGTTTTTTTTTAGTTGGTCAGGAAAGCTTTTCCATGTGTTTTAGTGCAAGCACTATCCTTGTAAAAAAAGTACACTTACCATACTTTTAAAAAGAGTACTTATTATGGAAATAATAAGCTTTAAGATGATTATACGTAATTTTTCCTGGCACTTAATTGCATGTTAAATGCAATGGCTTTTAAAGGACTTTTTTTACCGAATTAAGCAGGACTGAAGTACATACAATATTTATGTGTAATTTCATAATTACTTCTATTGTCTTTGGTTAAAATATACTACAGAATGGACTGAATGGAGTTTATGATTACAGTAAATAAAACTCTTAGATGTTACTTATATTGAAAGTTTTATTTTCGAAAGCTTAGGTTTCTAATAAGTACCAGATGAGACAGTTTGACAGTTGACATTTTGCTCTACAACGTAAACATTACACACTTAAAGTATAAAGGTATAATCATTTTAGTTTAAATTTAATTGTAGGTATAAATTAAAAATACTCATTATAAAACCCCATAGAAAAATCCCGAAGCTCCACTGGCGATTAGGTCTTTCTCGGTTCTGACGTCATCCAAGCATCACTCTACATCACCCTGATTTTTGTCTCCTGGGTTGTGGGAGGAAAAATAGTCAAATTCTGATTCAGATTGTGTGAATATAATTGACACACAGACTCACATTAGCTATTTTAATGTGCACATTTTTCGGACTTCTCACACTCTTCCTGTCTTTCTCCAGGTTCTCTGGACTGTCTTCAGGGTCGATCTGCCAGTCTGTCAAGCGATGATGTCGTTGGACTGGGTCATGAGGGTTCACGTCTCAGTCAGTTGTCTCTGATTCCTCGTAGCTCCACCCTTCCCTGTGATGCCACACCTGCTTCACGCCTCTCCCAGCGGCCCACTTCTCGCCGCCCGTCCTCTCCTGGGAGCGAGATGGTTACCTTGGAGCAGTTCTTGCAGGAGAGCAATGCCCTGTCCCCACCAACTGTACGTTGTTTTAACACTAATAACGTTTTAACACGTCTTAGCAGATTTATTTGTTTGGTGGTTTGACCTTTTAATCGAGGTATAAGATGATCCTTTTGGGGAAATAAATTTAACTCGAGGTCAGTAGAGACAATTATGCTTCTAAATAAATTAAGACTAATATTTGATCTGCACAATGGATTGTTGCATGCTAATTGCAGATTAAGATAATGTATTTGAGTGTTGTGTGAGATGTTTATAATAGAGATGTTGACCGTGATGGATCTTAACCATTTCAGCTAGTGGCCATAATATTCATAATAATTTTTGAATAAAAATTGAGAAATGGATGCAATGGGATTCCCATGGTCAAACAATTCAAATAATTTTAAAACAATGATTACCAGTGATGAGCGTCCAACACCCCCAACACACACACGCACACTTAAAAAAATAATTTCTTTTTTTTAGACTTTTCTACATGTCAACTCTCATGCATTCAGCTTGAGACTCACACAATTGGCACTGTTCTCACACTCTCATGTCACACATCCATTTCCTCACACAGTGAAAAAACAGCAAAGTGGACAGACTATAAACTTACAACTAGATCAGGTTACTTGTGAAATTGGAACAAAGTTTCCAATCTGAACATTGAAGTTGCCAGGCCTGGGATTAAGTGTGATTTAAATTAGTTAAATATTTTTAACACCTTTTTATTTTTGTCCACACAATTTTTGTTTTTGTCAAAATCATGAGATTAATTCCAGACATTGTATTAAATCAGCAATGAATGTATTCAGTCAACCATTGTTGAAGCCTGAGTAAAAACTAAATCTGTTTTTTTTGTTTTTGTTTATATAAATATATAATCTAACATTTTTATTTAAATTCAGTTTTTATATAATAAATTTTAATAAACAAATTTAAACACTTTTTTTTTTAGTTTTCCCTAACATTTTGACATTTGAACCCTGCATGTAATTACCATTGTAATCTTGCAAATATTGGGCACAATGAGGAGTTTTTTTTTTTTTTTTTTTTTTTGCATTTACATTTATTAATTTAGCTTACAATTGCTATATATATATATGTCAGAGGTCGCACGCCTCTGGAGCAACTAGGGGTTAAGTGTCTTGCTCAGGTACACAATGGTGTCTCAGTGGATTCGAACCTGGGTATCTCACACCAAAGGCATGTGTCTTGTCCACTGTGCCATCACCACCCCAAAAAGCTTTGATGATTTTGCAAAAAGCTTTATGATGATTAAGTCTAATTTAATTGATGATTTATGTCTTTTTTCTTTAGGTGCAGACAGGAAGTCGAGAGGATCTGATGACTGATTTCTTCACCAGATCCACTCGACCCGTCCCTCTGCGAGAGGGCGCTAAAACTCCCACCAATTATGTCACTCCAACCATCAAGAATACTCCACCAGAACTAGATGGTCGGGCCTCTAAACCTGGACACAGTGTCAAACCAAGCATTCGTCTCACAGAAACCTCCACACCTCCATCTCAGTCGCAAACCCTTCCCAACCGAGGAGCAGGACTGCGACCCTCACCTCTGCAGCAGTCCAATCCTCGCACCAGCCTGAGCCGAACGTTCAGCCTGGCCTCGGCAGACCTCCTCCGCTCCAACGGACCAGACAGCTATCGCACCGAGGCCAGTTCTCCCAGCCAAAACGACGTGGTGTTGAGGAGGTCTGGCGCAGTCGCCAGAGAAAGACCCGTGTCCGCTAGGCTGGCTGGATCCTCGCCTCTACCTGGAGACCCAGGGCACCTGTCCGTGGACCCCCGTCGCCTATCTCTTGCTCCACCGAGAGATGAATTGTCCCTGTCTTGTCCGCCCCCAATGCACTCCTCTTCTACATCGCTGCAGGCTGAACGGGAATACGTTGGGAGTGCCAGTAGCCGGGCTGGAGCGGTCCGTTCCGGACCTGCTCAAACCCGAGCGCTGCCCCACCGTGGTGAGGTGGCCATGGTGACTCCGGTGCGAGCTGTGTCAGCATTGAGGCTGAAGGATTTGGAAGAGGAACCCCAAGAACAAAGGCAGGTAGAGTCGCCTCTACTGAAGAAAACAGACACTGCGGACTTGAGCTGTACCGCCAAGGAGGACCCCACCAGCAAACCTGCTTCTCCTGACCCCAACAATGACCCTCAGACTGTGTGGTATGAGTACGGCTGTGTGTAGAACCTCAGACTTGGGGAAGAAACATGTTTGACGTATGAAACTGCACTGTGAATCTTGGAGGCTGGTCACGTCCTTCCATTCTCCATTTCTTCAGGTGCTTCAAAGGCACCAGGTGCATCTGAGGGTCTTGCACACGTTCACACTGACCTGGAAACGAATGTATGGGGCACTTGAATGTATTTTTCCCCTTCGTATCAAATCGAATGCCTTTGATTTCCGCAGCTCCATGGCAGGCCAGTTCACGTTCTATTCTGAATGTGGAAACCAAACGTTGGGCTGTGTGCTCGGAGCCACTCCCAGCTTAATTACTGAGTAGCGACTGCATCCATCTTTAGGAGGCGCAGGACAGTTGCAGTTCCATCACCAAGACAGCCTCACAGGGACCCGTTACGGGAAGCGGCCTCTCTCTCTCTCGCTCGCTCCCTGCTGACAGACCAAACAATCTGCTCTTTTTTGCTTCTTGTGGGTGACCATGTATTTGCTGTGGGACCTGGGTGTGGCTCAGACTCTGTTCAGAGGCAAGAGGACAACACAGACCCAGAAAGAGAGAGACAGGCACACAGGAGAAGTCAATAGGACAAAGAAAGCACCTAAGGTGGAACACTGTTTAAGGGAAGTTGGAATTTAGAGTACTGGACACATTGCCCTGTTTCACGCAAGCCTTTGGGGTTGCACTAAAGAGAATCTAAAGCTCAGTTTGGTGTTTTGTTTTTCTGACACACTCATTTTATAACACTGCACTTCTGTTCAAATGACCAGAAGTTCTTTAATTGGTTTATTTATTAATGTCTTTGAGACAATTAAACAACACTTGTTTGTGTGGTTGTTTTAATGTGCGTGTACGCCTAATTTTCCAAGATTTTTTGTTTTGCGTGGTTGTTGGTCAAGTCTGATGATGTTCTATACTGGAAGAATGGACTAGTCTGATTGTAATTTTGTTTTTTCTTAAGTGAAGCATGTAGGATCCCTCAATCATGTCACCAATCTAGTGTTCTTTGTTCCCTGTCAGTGGTGCTTTTCTGCCATCTCATTTCACCATCTCCAACTTCTCATGGTCAAGAGCTGGTCACCGTTGGAGATGGTGGATCTTCATAGAAATATATTTGGAGAAAGCATTCACACTGGATGTGTAAATATAAGGAAAGTCTTCTGTTTGAGTGTGCACGACTACTGGTTAAATGATTTTAGATTTACAACTGTTTTATACACTACTGCACATGAACATAGATCATTAACTGTAAGATATGATGTGTGTAGATACCCTAACAACCTTTTACACTTATTGTAAAATTTATTGTGAATGATAGAAGCCTGTTTAGAGAAAGCTGTTGTCCAAAACCTAAACTCTTTGTAATAAAGCTTTTTTTAAAAACAATCTCTAAAGTTTCAGTAAATTATACCATATGTGCTGTTTTAGTTTCTAGGATGTTTAAATCAGGGTTTTTAAAAAAAAAAAAAAAAAATCATTTTATCAACAGATTAGCATGACTTAAGATGTCACTTGATCTGTCGAATTCAGGATAAATTGTTGGTTTTTATTTCCCCTAAATTAGACAAAATATTGGATTGATTGGATTTTATATATATATATATATATATATATATATATATATATATATATAAAACATTTTTAATGCTGGTATAATATTGTTTTAAAAAAATTCGGTACATTTCTTAGGGATATGAAGTTTCAATTTAAAATGAAGAGGATTTCCTTCTTTTATCGATATAATAACCTCCAGACTGATACATAAATATAGAGGGTATCTATGGTTTAAAAATATAAAATATGTCCCCACTTTAGGGTTCCCCTTAGTGAATCTCGGTCATTTCCACCACTGGCTATTTAGGACACCAAAGTGTGTGTATTCAAGGAATGAACCAACGCATTTAAGATCTTTTCCTTTGCCATTGAGGGAACATTAGGTTTCATGTGTAAATTTCAAAACAACTGACGGAACAAGTTGTGTTGACTTTAAATTTGATGAAATCTGAAAATCAGAATATTCAGAAATCAGAATATGGATGAAAATGAACTCCACAACATAAAATATGGGACTATAACATTTGCAACAACAAATAGGCTAACAAAAATTTAAATGGTAACCATATTGTACAACTTATTGTCTGTTTTCTCTAAACACTTTAAAATGACTTAAATTGTTTCCATATTCCAAAGCTTTATATTCTGCATCTACATTTTGCTTCTCTCATCCTTTCTTCACTCCACAGATTGAACTTAATGCATTGTCTTATGTTCTGCTCTTTTCCTGTCTTTAATCTCTGACTTGAATTTCCTAATAGCACACTTATTTCTGTTTTCTAGTAGATTATACATGTCAATACTAAATAGCCAGGGAATGTCAATTTATTTAATGAATTTGAGTATAATTAAATAGTGAAGCTGAAAGGTCGCCCACTTTACCCGGATCCCACTGCTCCACTTAATGTCATATTTAAACACCTTACAGGAAAACTATTTAATAATTTAAAGAATTAGTGTCTAAAAGACAATTGCCATACACTTAAAGTGTAAACCCATTGAGCACAGTTGTACCTATAATCAAATTTACATGGCCAACTCTTCCCTGCATTCACCCTATCTGCGTTTTATATTAGTTCTGACACAGACTAGCCACCAGCTCGGAACGCATCTCTGTTTCGAATCACGCATTCTGTAGGCAGGTTCACGGTATGAGACACGTCCTGTTTCTGGGGAAGACCTTTAAGTGTTGACTGAGTAATTGCGCGCATCATCGCGTAAAACGGTTGACGCAATTTGTGGATTTCTCCTTTCCAGATGCGATAACCCCGGAACACGCGTGTGATCCGTTGGTGTGATCTTATCTCTGCAAAAATGTTCAATAAAAACAGGCTTCTCTCTATCACAGAGTCTGAGGAGCGGTTGAACGGGAGGATATGATTTTCATAACACTTCACAAATGGCTCGAGTGAGTGGCGTGGGATTAAAAGCGGCAATCTGAAGGTAAAAGCTACACTTTGATTATCTGACACACTCACACACAAAAATACTATGTAGGCTACTATGGTAAGTGTTGTAGTAGGCTGAAACTGAGCACTTTGGTACGGCTAACATAAAGCAAAAAAGGAAAAGGTGATTTGTTGCCCACACAAAAAAAACTATATGTATATATATATGTATAGTTATAGTTATAGGCTAACAATAAGAATCACTGTAGCCTACATATGCGACTTATCGTGTAGCTAGTCTAATCAAATAAATGCTGCTGCTTTATATTTCACAGCTTTCCACAAGATGTGTTTTTATTTTATTTGACAATAATTGAAAATAATGCATAATAAATTTAGCATATCAGCCTGATCGTTTCTCAAGTAGGCTGCGTTGCGACAATCTATCTCTGAGACTCTGACCAACAGGTCTGTGAAATTATTCAAACATTTGCGTAAAGCTTAGTACGGATGAGAAATTAACATTGTTTAAGTTTAACCCGTGTAAGAGTTCAAGTCAAAATGTTTTATTAATCACAAATGCAAAACTAGTCAAATATGTAAAATTAGGCTACATTATCATGCAATTATGAGGAGAGTGAGATAATTGTGAATAAAAGCCTTTTTTATGTTAAAGCAGTAGCCTACTTTGAAATGTGCAAACAGAGCAATAGCTTACGACATTAATCATAAACTCGATTAGCCTATAGATACATATATTGCAGTTGTTTCTTATGGCGTTTTATATATCAGACCTTGACACTATGCTTCCCGTGGGATCAGCATAGAGATGTTCAAGCACACGGTTCCCCGAGACTGAGCAGGAATTATTAAGTATGTTAGACAGTCTGACCCTATTATTTAACCTTAATTAGGCTAAACGTTTTTGTTTTGGTTTCATAATAAAATGGCAGAAAATGTACATCCTCTTATGTACATCCTCATCCTCCGCTGGTTTTGGGATTTTAGTTTGGAGGGCACAATTTGTTTTTGTTTTTAATTCTAAAAGAATTACTTGCTGTTTGAATCAAAAATCAATTGCACATATGGTTTTGCAACGTCTTCATGTGGCAGCTAGTCCTGGAGTCCCCAGTATAAAATATGGTTACACTTTATTTTGATGTTCCCCTTTAGACATTTTGTTGACAAGCGTTGCACCCACAAGTCAAGTACCGGTAACTCTCTTTAGAGTATTAGTAGGGTGTTAGTAGACTGGTTAGTAAGTTGACATTGCAAAGTTACCCATAGTCAGTCCAATTTCTGTTTGGGGACCATAATAAAGCAGATAGGCAATCTACTAATACTAAGAACATAAAAATAAAGTCTTACCTAAAATGAGTTATTGACTTAATTGACTAAATTCTAATTGGATGTCATGTTTGAAACCACTGGAGATAGATGCACATCTGTGACCACACTTTAATTCTGTTTCTATGTTTCACCATTATACTATGCTTGGCTGAAAAATGTCTGCTCAATTAGTAATGATTAATGCATTTATTGGACTACTGAACCACGGTGTTGTGCCCAAGAACACACCCATTGTAACACATTGCCTCTCTTGTACTGCTATTTTATACTGAAAAATGAAATGCTTGTTTCTGTTATTATCATATATATGACTTCATTGAAATTTAATAGAGGAATGTAATGGGTGCATTCACTGGGCAAGGCCTCCAAGAACAGAAAAACAATTCTGCTAAAAAACAAACAAAAAAACGTTCCCATATTGAGACTGTTCTGGGTAATAATGTACTCACACAGATGTCGTGCATCACTGTCTGAGCAGTCTTACTGAGGATGTTGTGTATTGTGTATCTCAGATGCAGGGAACAATTCTTAAGCATTTAATGGATTGGTGATGAAACACGTTCATGTTGGTTCATTTGTCTGTTATATGTTGTGTTCCACAGTAGTCACAGCCAAGGCCACTCCCAATATATCAGATATCCTTTCATCCGCTCGAGATTTCGTGTAACAGGTCACGGTCAGTTTGAAAAGGGCAATGTATCTTACTCAAATCCATAATGTGAATTGGGATTGAATACATCAGATAATTTCACACTGATCAATGAAGAAAATACCTATGCTGACGTCGAAGCCAAGTGCAAAAGACATTTTACAGTTGAATTCTTTCTGAATTCAATAGTTTAGTTTCAAGATCACTTTTCACACTTCCTTCTAGTTAATATCTCTTTCTGTATGTTTAGAATAGTTTAGAGTCTGAAGGACGCAGCACACACAAACCATTTATCACTCGGCTGCCATCTTGATAACATCCTCAGGCTCCTATTTTCTAAGCAAGCTGAAGAACAACTTCTGTCAGCCTAAATTGAGAGAAACCCAAATCATTTTGACTAGTACGACAAATACTGCAAGCAATCAAATCTTACAACAATGGTCATAAAATGTGCTTCTTTACCTGAAATTGACCAAAAAAACAAAACAATAATATGTTGTAGTTTTATGGTAACTTTCATATAGAGAGCTGAACGAAAATCTGTAATTTAATAGACCAACCCGGAAGTTAGCATCACCCTGGTTGCCTCGATTACTTTCTTTAAAATCTACAAGTTTGAGTTAGAATAGTTTGCAAGAGCGCAAGTATAAACTCGACGAGGCTGTAAATGCTCAGTTTTTATATTTGGCGTGACTAACTTTACTTAGTGTTAAGGCTCCTGCAGGATTTTTCTCAAATACACCGTGATGCATCACACTATCATAAAGGGATTATAACGGAAACACAAATGTACGTGAAAGAACCACAGTGCATTTCAAATCTAGTACTGTCAGAGGTATGTACTCACTGATCCATATAGATCAGTGTATGTACTGCATTCGTTTAACATCTCAACTTTCTAGTTCCAATACAAACAAAAAACATGGTTGTAAACTAGTTGTGTAATCAAAGTTATGTATACTTTTATAAAAGTATACTTTTATGCACTAAAATGTGGGCCAATTTAGTCACAAGTAGTATTGAAATGGTACACTCACAGTACAAGAACGTGCTACTACATTCATATTGGTAAACAAAGTATACTTCAAAATATACTTGAACTTTACTAACTTGAAGTATACTTTGCAAGGGAATACAAACCGGGCATACTAAATCTGCCATGTTGGCTTTGTAATGTAACAACTTGAGCTATGTCACAGTTTTTGGCCGTTTACGAACATTACGACTCCTTTGGTGTCCGATACGCACGTCAAAATCTCTGAAAGCTGTAGTCCAGGTTTTATGAATCCTGTGGTGGTATTTGGACATACTAATCATTTGACAATATTTTGTTTGCTTCCTTTAGAATTGATGGAGTGTCATTCGGAGACCTCTTGGTTACGAACGTCCTACACTCGTTGAGAAACATGAGGTTGGAAAGATGAACATGTCTGAGGAGCAAATCAACTGCACTATAAGCCACGAGATTCACCAGTACCTGTTTTCAGGTGCGTACATCCTAGTCCTGCTAGTGGGTCTTCCCGCCAATGGTTACTCGCTCTACCATGCCTGGCTGCAACTAAAAGCCCGCAATGAGCTAGGGGTCTACTTATTGAACCTGACCATATCGGATCTGCTGTACCTGGCCTCCTTGCCCCTCTGGCTCCAGTACATTTTCCAGGGGGACGACTGGAGCGGCTCGGAGTGGCTCTGTCAGCTGTGTGGTTTCCTGCTCTACGAGAACATCTATGTCAGCATTGGTTTTCTGTGTTGTATCTCCATCGACCGCTACCTTGCAGTGGTCTACCCCTTCCGCTTCTCCGCTTTCAGGACGGTACGAGCAGCAGCACTGGTCAGTACGGTGGTCTGGCTCAAAGAGCTTGCCGTAGCAGTGGTGTTTTTCCGGCATAAGGAGCTCAGCAAGGACAAGCATAACCAATCGGTGTGCTTTGAGCACTATCCCATGAAGACATGGGAGTACTCAATAAACTACTACCGTTTTTACATAGGCTTCCTGTTCCCTTTAGGAATTCTCTCAGTGTCGTACTTTCGAGTCCTCCGAGCTGTGGGCAAGAGTGCGGGCACGCAGACTGCCCAGAAAACGCGCATCAAGTACCTGGTGACCAGCACCATTGTCATCTTCCTGGTGTGCTTCTCGCCTTACCACGTCTTCCTGCTGGTGCGCACTGTATTTGAGCGGGACTGCGCGTTCATTGAGAACGTTTTCAATTACTACCATTTCTCGCTATTGCTTACTAGCTTTAACTGCGTGGCAGACCCGGCGCTCTACTGTTTTATCAGTGAAAATGCACAAAAGGACATCCAGAAGGCTCAGGATGCTTGTACTCGGGTCATCTGCTGCTGCTCAAAAAATCATGGAAGGTTCAACACCCACTCCACTGAGCTGGCAGTCACCAATGATAATGTTACAGGCACGTCAGTCGTGACACTCTTGCAGCAGATCAAAACTGAAGTTTGAACTTTTTCATGCCGTTTAGCTACAGGCTCTTCGGTGGACAAACACATGGAAGCATCCTAGATGTATAGACACAAAGTCAACATACAGTTGGCTAAAACATCATTCTTTGCTGTTTTAGAGTCATATTGCATTATGTCATGGTTTTGGTAAGTTAACATTATACTGTTATGTGGTGTAATTCTCAGGGATTGCTACCTTGATAATGATCTGTGGTTGACATTTGAGGTTTCAATATCTAATGATCTAAAAATGTACGATTTTAAATGTACTGTATACTGTTCCAAGTCCCTTTAGCTACATTTGCATGTAGCGGTTAGACATGGTGTCCAAGATTAAAGTCATTTCTGCTTTCATACCTCATAGGTTTCAGTTCCTGGGACTCATTTATAAAATGTCACATATACATTTGATCTTACGATCATTTCTCAAATTTGCATACACATGACTCAAAGAATACAACATCTCTTCCAGATGTGCAATCTATTAATCGCAAATGATCTTGAAACTGAATGGTTTCAGATCTCAGCCCTGTAATTTCATTTACTTAAAAGATCAGTCAACGTCCAAATTCTTTACTCGAGAAAGGCAAGCAAGAATGGTTAAAAATCCAAATGCCTGCAGTTCTCTGACTCTCTGAAAAGTGCGTAATGTCTGCTTAGACCCTGACGTTTTCTACATCAAAGACTTAAAAAAAATATGAACGTTGGCGTGAATTTTAGCATTCACACATTCTAAGATCAAATCTGTGCATACACCCATTTTATTAATGAGGCTCCCAGTGATAGACTGCTAGCATGACAGGAAACTGCTTTCATCATCTTCACTATAAGTTTAATGAACTAATGTGGTAATACTTATAGAGATTGATTGGAGCTTTAAGGCCTAACCACTTAACAGTCACTGCATGCTTTCATTTTATGGAAAAGAACGGCATGAAATTCTGTGTTCTACAATAGAATGACAGATATACAGGTGTAGAACTTCATGTTGAGGTGAACAAGCTTATCTTTGTCACCTACTCAGCTTTTTCTTTTTTTTTTTAATAGTAAGGCATGGAGCACAATTCTGTCAGTAATTACTCACCCTCATGTTGTTCCAACCCCATAAGACTTTCGTTCATCTTCGGAACACAAATTAAGATATTTTTGATCTAGTAGTGAGCTGGATCACCACTAGTCCATTGGCTTCTTGAGGAATTGAAACTTGCCGTCTTCGAAAAGTTATTAAATACATCGTTAAAATAGTCCAAGTGACTTCAGTGCCTCAATCTTAATTTTATCAAGCGACGGGAATACTTTTTGTGCACAAAAACAAATAAAAATAATGACTTTATATCAACTATTCACTTCCTTCTCCATGAGTCAGTTAACGTAGTGTGATTGCGTAGAGCTACGTCACACGTAGGCTCACTATTGGCCGACGCTGGTCATGTGTGTGATGCGTGTCACGTACAATAACAGATGCTTACGTTATTAAACTAGTTTACCTGACTCGAGGCAGAGAGAGAAGTAAATGAATAGTTGAAATAAAGTTGTTATTTTTGTTGTTTTTTTGCGCGCAAAAAGTTCTCGTCATTTGATAAACTTAAGATTGAGCCACTGTAGTCACTTGGACTATTTTAATGATGTCTTTTATAACTTTTCAAGGCCAGCAAGTTTCAATTCCTCAAGAAGCCTATGGATTAGTATGCAGGAGTGATCCAGCTCACAGATTTAATCAAAAATATCTTAATTTGTGAATCGAAGATGAACGAAGGTCTTATGGGGTTGGAACAACATGAGGGTGAGTAAATACTGACAGAATTTTCATTCATTTTTGGGTGAACTAACCCTTTAACAAGCACAAGAAGGTTCACGGGTGTGAAGGGTCAGCCACCCCCAAACAGACCATTTCAATCTGGACAGCTTCCCACTGTGATATCACATCCTGGGAAAATAGTTGAGGAAGAAGTGATGGTTGCTTCCAGAAATCATAGATCTTTTGTTTGCTCAAACCACTTACTTAAAGGTGATGAGTGTTTGGTGCAGTGTTTACATTTTTAAGATGGAAGGGACCACAGCTAATACCAGTTTGAGTGAGTGACCTGAACTGAAACAACAGACTCATTCAAACTATGTTTACAATGCATACTCAACATGCTTGCAGTTTGTATGCAACCAAACAAGGTTATTTCATGATTTCAACAAGTGACTGCTGTTCGGTTTTATTTGAGATTTTTATTATTGGTTTTTATAGTGTTTATTGTTTGTGATGCTCAAATCACTGCAATGATTGTATTGTAACACAGTACATGGAGACAGAAATGATGCTGTACTGCAGGGGTATAGAAGTACAGAGCTATTATATTTAATTATGGTGGTTACTCTTACAAAACTCTGACTAGTTACCATTTTTGAAGATAGAGTGTTCTCCTTGGGGTATCTGATCAATGAATTTTGTTTTTGTTTGGCATGTTAGCCTCAGTAAAATGTGGACTTTTTTATGTATGCGTCTAATTTCTCCTCAATGGTTAAGTAGCAAAAATAAGACTAAATAAAGGAATAAATGATGATGAACCGTTACCCAAAAAGGAGACAGAAATTAACACTCCAGTGAAAACGGTTCAGAGAAACGCTTTTGTCAGATACTTGTCCAGTTTGTTTAGTTATGGCCCTTTTTTGTTTGTCTTTGTTTGGTTTTGATTATTTTACTTGTTGGAAGCAGAATTGTGACATTAAACATAGGTGCATAAACAGAAGCTTAAATACAGCTGTGATTAATTAGTATAAAGTCATATTCCCACTAAAAACGCATCCAGCAGCATCTTTAAAGAAAATGATTGGCCTATTTATTTTATTTTCAGAGCCAGACTAATGAAAAGTCTGCCATTTATTTTACTTTATGATTAAGGGTTTTGGGATGATCTTCTCCAGTGTTGATTTTGGTTGAACCTTGGAAGAGGGAAAGACATCTCTAGACATCTCGATCTCTAAAAAGGTCTGTGATAATATACAAATTTCCAAATAACCTGAAGGTGTTATGTAACAGTAATACGGATCTGAACTAAAACAGCTGCGTGTACTCTACGATGCATGAGAGAAGTTGTGTACATATGGTATTTCTTTCTTTTCTTTTTTTAAAGTTCCTTGGACTAAAACTTGAATATTATGGTATACTAATTTATTATTTATATTCCATGGTATATGCATCAAATACCACCCATAAATGTAACCAAATATGCCTATTAATTTGAATTAATAGCCTAATTGACTTTATGCACAGCTGCACTACTTCCTGAACTTAAGCCAGCTCCTTGTTTCCTGTCTGACATTATTGGACAAACTTGATTAATTCAGGTGTGTCTGATTATTGTTGCCATGACTACTGAGGTCAGGCACACCTGAATTAATCAAGTTTGGCCAATAATAGCATACAGGAAACAAGGAGCTGGCTTAAGTTCAGGAAGTAGTGCAGCTGTGCATGAAGTCACTCTATCACCACCTGTGTTTGAAAATAAAAATGGCATGTATTGCATGAATCAAATGGTTTGAGAAATCGCTAATTAGACCTACCTGCTATCTCTACTTGGGAGTGGATCTGTGAAAATAAGGTATAATGTAATTTGAGCAAGTATTAGCTGAAGTATATGTGGTTTCTTATTTTGTTTTGACAGATATTATATTTAATTATGGTTACTCTTACAAAAGTCTGACTAGTTACCATTTTTGAAGATAGAATGTTCTTCTTGGGGTGTCTGATCAATGAATTTTGTTTTTGTTTGGCATGTTAGCCTCAGTAAAATGTGGACTTTTTTTACGTACGCGTCTAATTTCTCCTCAATGGTTAAGTAGCAAAAAACTGCCTATCTCTACTTGGGAGCGGATCTGTTACGCTACAAACAATACTGATAGAATGCTCAAAGAAGTATATATAAGATATAATGGGGTGTCACTTTACCTTCTTGACTGTCTGCATTTCAAAGTTGCCATTTAAAGCGAGCTTGCTGGGGAAATTTTGAGTTGCTCTGATCTTCTTGAAACTCTGTATTCTGATAGAGGGCCATGGGACTTAGACCTGAGTGCCAAAATGGAGGCTCTAGCTTTCCAGGGCTGAGATATTGAGATATTTATAATGGCATAATGCTACGTGGGATCTAAACATCTCAGCTCTGGAAGGGTCTAGAGCCTCCATTTTTGCACTCAGGTCTACGTCCCATGGCCCTCTATCAGAATCCAGAGTTTCAAGAAAATTGGAGAAACTTGTTTTTTTGCACTAAAAAAAAAAACAAAAAACGAAAGGGGTAACACTGTCATTTTTTTTTTTCGTGTCGAAATTTTACGTTTCTCTGATCTTCTTGAAACTCAGGATTCTGATAGAGGGCCATGGGACTTAGACCTGAGTGCCAAAATGACTCTAGACCTTTCCAGAGCTGAGATATTTATAATGGCATAATGCTACGTGGGATCTAAATATCTAAGCTCTGGAAGGGTCTAGAGCCTCCATTTTTGCACTCAGGTCTACGTCCCATAGCCCTCTATCAGAATCCAAAGTTTCAAGAAGATTGAAGAGACTTATTTTTTCTCACAAAAAAAAAAGGGGTAACACTGTCGGGGTTTTTTTTCGGGTCAAAATGTTTAGTTGCTCTGATCTTCTTGAAACTCTGGATTCTGATAGAGGGCCATGGGACTTACACCTGAGTGCAAAAATGGAGGCTCAAGACCCTTCCAGAGCTGAGATATTGAGATATTTATAATGGCATAATGCTACGTGGGATCTAAATATATCAGCTCTGGAAGGGTCTAGAGACTCCATTTTTGCACTCAGGTCTACGTCCCATGGCCCTCTATCAGAATCCAGAGTTTCAAGAAGATTGAAGAAATTTATTTTTTCGCACAAAAAAAAAAAGAAAGAGGTAACACTGTCGGGGTTTTTTTCGGGTCGAAATTTTTAGTTGCTCTGATCTTCTTGAAACTCTGGATTATGATAGAGGGTTGTGAGACTTTGACCTGACTGCAAAAATGGAGGCTCTAGACCCTTCCAGAGCTGAGATATCGAAATTCAAATTTTCGACCCGAAAAAAAACGACGATGTTACCCCTTTCATTTTTTTTCCGTTTTCGGGCGAAAAATTAAGTTTCTCCAATCTTCTCAAAACTCTGGATTATGATAGAGGGCTGTGAGACTTTGACCTGAGTGCAAAAATGGAGGCTCTAGACCCTTCCAGAGCTGAGATATCGAAATTCAAAATTTTGACCCGAAAAAAAAACGACAGTGTTACCCCTTTCGTTTTTTTCAGTTTTCGGGCAAAAAATATAGTTTCTCCAATCTTCTCAAAACTCTGGATTATGATAGAGGGTTGTGAGACTTTGACCTGAGTGCAAAAATGGAGGCTCTAGACCCTTCCAGAGCTGAGATATCGAAATTCAAAATTTTGACCCGAAAAAAAAACGACAGTGTTACCCCTTTCGTTTTTTTTCGTTTTTGGGCGAAAAATTAAGTTTCTCCAATCTTCTCAAAACTCTGGATTATGATAGAGGGCTGTGAGACTTTGACCTGAGTGCAAAAATGGAGGCTCTAGACCCTTCCAGAGCTGAGATATCGAAATTCAAAATTTCGACTGAAAAAAAAAACGACAGTGTTACCCCTTTCGTTTTTTTTTCGTTTTCGGGTGAAAAATTAAGTTTCTCCAATCTTCTCAAAACTCTGGATTCTGATAGAGGGCCACGAAACTTTGACCTGAGTGCAAAAATGGAGGCTCTAGACCCTTCCAGAGCTGAGATATCGAAATTCAAAATTTCGACCCGAAAAAAAAAACGACAGTGTTACCCCTTTCGTTTTTTTTCGTTTTTGGGCGAAAAATTAAGTTTCTCCAATCTTCTCAAAACTCTGGATTATGATAGAGGGCTGTGAGACTTTGACCTGAGTGCAAAAATGGAGGCTCTAGACCCTTCCAGAGCTGAGATATCGAAATTCAAAATTTTGACCCGAAAAAAAAAACGACAGTGTTACCCCTTTGTTTTTTTTCGTTTTTGTGCGAAAAATTAAGTTTCTCCAATCTTCTCAAAACTCTGGATTATGATAGAGGGCTGTGAGACTTTGACCTGAGTGCAAAAATGGAGGCTCTAGACCCTTCCAGAGCTGAGATATCGAAATTCAAAATTTTTGACCCGAAAAAAAAACGACAGTGTTACCCCTTTCGTTTTTTTTCGTTTTTGGGCGAAAAATTAAGTTTCTCCAATCTTCTCAAAACTCTGGATTATGATAGAGGGCTGTGAGACTTTGACCTGAGTGCAAAAATGGAGGCTCTAGACCCTTCCAGAGCTGAGATATCGAAATTCAAAATTTCGACCCGAAAAAAAACGACAGTGTTACCCCTTTCGTTTTTTTCGTTTTTGGGCGAAAAATTAAGTTTCTCCAATCTTCTCAAAACTCTGGATTCTGATAGAGGGCCACGAGACTTTGACCTGAGTGCAAAAATGGAGGCTCTAGACCCTTCCAGAGCTGAGATATCGAAATTCAAAATTTTGACCCGAAAAAAAAACGACAGTGTTACCCCTTTCGTTTTTTTTTATTTTTGGGCGAAAAATTAAGTTTCTCCAATCTTCTCAAAACTCTGGATTATGATAGAGGGTGTTT